ACTGTTAAATTCATAATCCTTAGTTTCATCCCTTTTTCTGGCTTTCCATCAAGTAGTTTCTTTTATTATTTTTGTTGTTTTCACTCCCAAAAAAAGGATTTAGCATGGTAACAGCACTATTGTGAGCTGTGCCAGTCCACCATTTACATCACGCTCTCACAATGTGAGTCATTACCAAAGTTTGTGCCTTTCTTACACAGCATTTGAGGCTCTGATGCAACACCTTTGAAGTAAGACTATTTGTTGAAATGATAATTGCTATCATCCACACACCCTCAAGGTGGTAAATGTTTTTCAGGTCACTGAAAAGGTCTTTGTCAAGGGGTACAGCAACATTAATTACAGTACATCAGACTTTCATGTTCTTCCATTTCAGAGTAAAAATGTTCAGATAGTTGTATGCTACTTTGCCATATGTGGCAATGGGCTTCTCCCAGTAAATCTTCATTCTGTTCTTCTTGTGTTTTTGTGCTGGCTGGTACTTAAAATGGCTTTTGGTTAGCTGCTGGGAGATGATTCCACTGATGCTGTAGTATCGCTGAATGTAATTGGCATTACTGAACACTGGCCATTCATTGACATTGTGTAACTTGGTCTCACTCAGTGGTGGTCCCAGGGTTGATGCTTTTTAGTGATCAGAATTATTGCTAGAAGAATTATCCTTTATAATGTGCTTCTGGCAGTACTTTTGCCCTGGATAACAAAGAGAAATCTTCCATCTCTGGAAAAAAAATGTCTCTTCTCACAATGATGTTGTTGATGTGTCCACATGAGTTTCCATTTTTAAGTGCTACATGGAACCTTTCATGGTAAAATTTCGTACTCTACTCATCTGCCCTTGACTGTACTGTTTTTTACTTAAATCAGAGACCTTTTTCAGAGAGAAACAGCAGGGACTCGTGAACTGCTGTCTCATGGATGGTTAATTGCTTTTTCAGGAAGTACTCACGAAGATCACCTTTGTGTACTGCTTTCTGAAAGATTGAGCAGACCTTCAATGCCATCTATTTTTGGGAGGTACTGTACATGTGGGTTGTGGATGCATGAGGATGGCATTGACAATCTTTTTCTGTTAGAATAAAACTGACTTTGTGGCATCCAGTAAAAACTATACATTTAGTTTCATACTCTGATTTATGAAGGCATTTTTTAAAATAAATGTCTGTTTAGTCTAGGAGTGGGGAGAAAAGGAGGGATCCTGATCCAAGTATTTGAAATCTTCAAAGACACTGACAAATTCATCCCAATGGATGTCTAAAGAAAAAATAGCGGACCAGTGGAAGCAATGGGAAGTACAGTATATAAACAACTGAGAACCATTTTATAGTATGTGTAAATATTCACAAGTTGTTCACAGCTCGAATCTTGATTGTGGTAAAAATAATAATAATAATAATAAGTTCAGGTGGGTAGCTGCGTCAGCATGTGTAGGCTGCAAAGGAACAAGTCATAGGTTTATTCCATGCTGAAAAAAAAGAAGAAAGAAAACACAACGTTTCGGCCGTAGAGCCTTCTTCAGGTGTGAGGGTGTAATAAGTTGTAATAATAATAACAACAACAACAACAACAACAACAACAACAACAACAATAATAATAATAATAATAATAATAATAATAATAATAATAATAATAATAATAATAATAGGTGCTAGATGAGAGCAATGGACAGAGAAAACGATTAGTTGGTATTTATGTATTTAGATTTCTCTATCCCAAAAATTAAACAAAATATTCGTAAGGACCCATTACCTAAACGTTTAGAAGTCAATGATTTTTCATTTGCAGTACATTTTCTTTACTCACTTGTTGAAGAGATGATGGATAGCTTTGCATGATCTTGTAAGAAAGGCTGTAAACTATCTCTCGCATGGGCACTGAACCTGTATAATCAGTGATTCATACCTCACCAGCAGGAAAGCTTATTATGGACAATGGAGTAGAAAATATTTACAGGGCTTGTGGCAGCTGTAGGCATCAGGAGAGTAAACAGAACATTAGTAAATGCAAAATGAATACCCAGATGTGAAAGCACATCTTGCCTGTGGTGGGTTTTTTATAACATCTTCTGCACACATTAGAAACACAGTACTTCCCTCATTAAGCTCAGCTTGCAAATATATTTTGGTTTTTAGGCAAACCACAATCAAAAGCATAACACTATACTAGCAAATATTATGGTCATGTGAATGAAAAATCCTTGTGATTATTTAATTTTCATTTTTGAAAGGAAATTAGAAATCTACAAAGATAAAGATAGAATATTTTGTTGTTTGTTGTTGTATGCTTTGAATATTCACAATTTATTTTCATGCATTGTGTTTATCAATCCATTATCGGAAAGCTACTGATTCCTGATGACTGTCTCCAGAGTCTATCCTGGCAGCGCAGAGAGTAAGGTGCAGCTTAGTATCCTGAATGAGATACAGTACCAGTCCATCACAGGGCACACAGAAGGACAATTTAGAGACACTACAGTAGTTAAGCTAATTGGCATGTCTTTGGAAGGAAAATGAGAATGACTTTAATAAGAATAATCTTTTTCTTTACTTGCTGAGCATGATAACTATTCAATAACTAACCATAGTAAACTAATAATATTGTGCACTGTAAAGAGGAAGTTGTCATGTCTGTGCACAAAATGACCTTCAGAGCATAGCAGATACTAAAACAACACAATCATCTTCAAAATGTTTTGTTCTATGTTTAACAAAAAATATATATATTGATCACAACCTTTTTATCTCCCTGGAATGGCCACAGCATGCATCCTTAGTCAAGGAAAACCAACATTTTTGAAAAACAAAATTCTCCAGGTGGCAATTCATCGCTCGTCCTGCTTTGCCTTAATAGATTATTGACCTGCCCTTTTTCACTGATCACTGCTCAGGTGAGATTGAAAAGAACAGTAAAAAAAGAGTCAAACGGCTTTCCCCCCCCAGCTTTAAGATTACTCAGTTTATTGATCTGGATCAATATGTACTGTAAGTCAATACTTCATGGCAAATGATCACTGAATTATGACAATGTGCTGGAGGCTGTGATTGAGTGCGAGCCCTTTCCTTAATCATCAAAACTTACTAGACAGACTTCAGACCTAAAGCTAATCAATAGTAAGTGATAAACTACAATCAAAATACATTGTTACTAAAGACAAAATAAATGTCTTCAGTTCTCCCATTTTTGGAGCTTCTCTTTCACTTTCACAAGCACTTATTTGTTATTCATGTACCTGTATAACTCAGTATAAATTAGATTTGAATTTTGCTGTATTTATTACACTAAACAATTATTATGAGTACTAATAACAGGCATTTGCTTTAGTTAATTGCAGTATAATGACCAATTCAAATGAAATTCTATGAAATATTTTTTCACATTTCAGGTCTCGACCTAAAGACGTGCTGACAGTTTCAGATATTCCCATGGGCTCGAGGTGCCACCTTCCTTTTACCAACAACAATTGCTTTCTGTTTTTGTTTCCATTTGCTAGCTGTTGAATTTGTTTCTAATTCTGTACCTCTGTACATTCTGGCCAGCCACAAACATGGGACTTCATAAGAGATGCTGGTAAAAAAAAAAAAACATTATGACTGTTTCAGAAATAAAACCCTTCAGTTCATTATAGACAGGTCAGTGAAAGGCAAACTCCCAGCAAGCAGTTTGAAGAAGTCATTCCTTCCTTCTGCTATCTGCACACTCTGATGTGGTGCCCTCATGGGATTCTCCAAGCTCTATATGTTCCAGACTAATATTTAGACTGTCAGGTACAGAAATGAAATGTGCGTTTTATACACACACCCCTTACCTTTTGATTTATTCAAGTACAATGTTTAACTGAAAATTTGCTCTGCACAAAAAACAAATCTTGCTGATGTGAGGACTGGGATTTAAGATAAGATAAATATACAATAAATTGACAACACTTACCTTGAACTTCAATTTGAGACTCATGCTTATAAAAAATAAAAAAGATGATACAGAGGCAAATATTGGTTAATTGTCTGATGGCTTTTTAAAAATAAATTGAATTTCTTCTTACTAATCCAATCTTTTCATAAAGGTGGTTTTTGAAAAGCTCCAATCCTGCCACCTAGTGTGATGCACAATGTATTGCATCCTTAAAAAAGATATAATGTAAAAGTACTGTATGTTCGTTCCCATTTTAGTCTTGTGACCACGTGTTTCTCTTTCTTATGCATTATCTTTAACATGGTATGGAGAAAGAAATACATCTGTGGGTATTGAACATGACCAGCGTTTCTTTAGGTTTTACAACAAAGAGAAAAACAATGTATTATCATCCTTATTCTTCGGGAGTTAAGTCAATGTAATGATTTTAACACTGACTGCTTACAAATAACCATAAATTTGTGGTTACTGCAGCCAGTTACCAGCCAAACCAATTTCAAATGAGCCCAGCTGATGGCTGGTTGTCTGGGATAACGCCATGACAGCTATAGTATAAAAGATAAAAAAGGGAAGAAGGATGAGTCCTTTTCTCGCTTGGCTTACTTTGTAAATAGAGGATACAGTAGGTGCAAAACTCAGCAAAGGAAGAACAAATTATTGTTTCCTTCTCAGAACTCTTCTATGACAGTTCTTACACAATCCGTGCAGCAGTAAACACTACGTTGAATAACAATTACTTGTGAAATAGCAGTTAGCCCCTGTGTTTCACAGTGACTGATATGCCATATTGTTGTTTGATTAGAAATTGAGTACACACTGGAATTATAGCTTTGAAGAAACCTTAGTGATATTTGGAGCCGTTTTCAGGAGACACTCATAAAACTAAACAATGTTTCATAGATTTCACAATAAATCAAACATATCCTTGGTTGATTAGGAGATTATGAGCCCATGCTGGATGTTCTTCTTTTAAGACACCCTGTTCTTGGTCATAGCCAAGGATTTTCCAGAACCACTTTCAACACCTTGATACAAGTATATAAAATAGTTGCTGACATTTGTTACTGGCACCAGGACGGAGATCTCTCACTCATCCAGCCATGTCTTTGCTGTACATCACTGTTATTTTCAGCGCCACGGCACTGACTTCTACAGCTCCCCTGCAGTGTGACAAAGCAGTGAAGCCCTTAATGATCAAAGATCTCAATGAGGTAAGACTGTGAAACAAAAAAAAGAAACAGAACCTGACAGTAGTCAGGTTAAACCCACAGAGTTCACATGATAGAGTATTATCATGGTAATATAAAGAACCTGAAGTGGCTCAGCGCTTTTAGCAGTAAAACTGTAGCATGGAACTAATGGAGTAAATACTACCCGTTCCACACATTATCTGTTTAAATGTTTCAAATGGGTATTGAAGTGCAAATATCTCCAATCTAAATATTTTGAAAGGAGGCAGAGTAAAGTGCATATTATTGAGTGCAAATTTCATTTTAAAATTCTTTCCATGTAGAGCTTCATTGGTGCTCTATGTGATTCTATCATACTTATTTCTACTGTTATTTGTGTTATTTACAAAGTCTTAAATACAAATATAAAGACTGTATTTGTAGATAATCAGATTAATGTTAAACTCAATGTTTTATTGACCAACAAAATGATTATGTGCCAACTACAGCTCATAGCAGCAAGTTAACCCCCTAGTCAGGATACAGACAAGTAATCAGACTGATGACAGCATGGAAGTACACCAGGATCTGTTGAGTAACAGTTAAAACTAATTTAAAAGGCACAATTTGTAGCTCTGCTTGCAAAGTACTAATTTACTTGCTTTTTAATGTGTACATCTCTCTTTTCCCTGCATGTAGATCAAAGGAAAATGGATTCTGATCTCAGGTGCTACAGATTATAAAAAATATCAGGATATGCTGAAGGAGTTGCAGAGCTCCTGGATCGAGGTCCTGCCTCTCACTACTAATATAAGCATCATGAATCAGGGTTACAAGATGTGAGTAGTGTTATGCCTAAACCTAAACCTCTATTGTTAGAACATCCTCTCACATGTGCAGCGATGTAATTGTCTTTCTGGTACATACTGTAGGTACTTTACACTCTCTACGGACAGTAAAAACCCAAATGTTTTACAGGAAATCTCTGATGGCCTGCAATGGCATAGATGTTCAGTTATATTCTCAGTGTGACTCCAGTGTTAGTGGATAGTGCTAGTGTCACACAGGTTGAGGGTCCTGGGTTTGATTCCATCTGGGAGAGCGTTTGTGAAATTTGCAGGTTCACTTCATGTTACTGTAGTCTTCCTCCGAGTACTTCAGTTTATTTCCACCTCAAAGCTGTCCCTTTCTGGGGTGGAAGGAGGTTTTGATCTTGGGAGGTTGAGGAGGTTGTTCCCAGTATAACCACTCTTGTTTGTGAACTTTATGTTCTTAAATGAAATAAGAATTAATAATAATAATAATAATAATAATAATAATAATAATAATAATAATAATAATTGCTTACACTTATATAGTGCTTTTCAGGACACTCCACTCAAAGCGTTTTACAGGTAATGGGGATCCCCTCCACCACCACCAATGTGCAGCCCCACCTGGATGATGCGATGGCAGCCATAGTGCGCCAGAACGCTCACCACACACCAGCTATCAGTGGGGAGGAGAGCAGAGTAATGAAGCCAATTCATAGATGGGGATTATTAGGAGGCCATGATTGGTAAGGACCAATGGGAAATTTGGCCAGGACGCCGGGGTTACACCCCTACTCTTTTCAAGAAGCGCCCTGGGATTTTTAATGACCACAGAGAGTCAAGACCTTGGTTTTACGTCTCATCCAAAGGACGGCACCTGTTTTAAGTATAATGTCCCTGTCACTATACTGGGGCATCAGGACCCACATGGAGTGCAGGGTGAGCGCCTCCTGCTGGCCCCACTAACAGCAGCAACCTTAGTTTTTCCCAATTAAAACAGTATACAGATAGTCAGATGCAGAACATTGGCTGTATGGAACTTGTATTGCTTGTCCAGTTTATGGTAGCTTCTTTGTCATTTTATGAAATTATAATTCACAGCAGATCTAATAATAATAATAATTATAATTTAAAAAATTTGGGGAACAGATAGGAGACCAGACTTAGAAGAGTGAAGGTCACGAGGTGGAGAGTAGGACGGTAGTAGCTCAGACAGGTACAAAGGTACCAAGCCATGCAGAGCTTTATACAATAGGTGAGCATGAGGACTTTGAAGTCAACAACGAATCTGACAGGAAGCAAATGTGATGACTCAAGGATAGGAATAATGTGATCACTTGCTCTAGACCTGGTCAGGATTTTCGCTGCAGAATTTTGGACATACTAGAATTTGTTCAGTGTTTGTTCATGGGTATTTTGTTAGGGATGTGGTTACTAATAAAGTACAGTTGCCTTGTGTGACTATGTAAAACTTATTTCTCATTTCAGGAAGAACTGTACTTGGCTTCCTTCTTACATGAACTTGAAAGACGAAAGTGGAACTCTATTCTTTGAATGTATGTTATACAATACAAAATGAATTACAAAATTCCCTTTTTGAAATGTGTAGGGAAAGAGGCATGATGTTCACTAAAACATGATGCCAGGGTTATTAGAAAGCAGTCCCATTATTACTGCTGAAGTACTTTGGCACAAATGGCTTGGTAAAAGGTTCATTAATGGATAATTCATACAATTCCAAAATTAAAGAACAGGTTTTACGAAAGGTTTGTAATGGAATGTATTGGAAGATCCATTAAGTATCCCTGTGCCAAGCTCTTGTAATTTAACTTATTTCATGGTCCTCTAACAGAATCACAGAAGGCTATAAGTCTTTCTAATTTTTAGCTAAAAAGATAGACTATTATTGATATGATAGAATGTTGAATAAATCTTAGTTTACACTCTCAGAGGCACTAAGTCTTTGTTAACTTAAAACATGTAACCCATTGCAGTCCTTTGAAATCAGTACCATGTGTACACCTCTTGTATAAAGCTGATACTAATATTTCTGATACCACTAATTGTGAAAAATAACCACAAACCAAGCAGATTAAATAATTAAATACAAATTATTTGTATATACATTACTTCATGTTGCACCTTCTTCACTGATCAAACAAAAGGCATTCCCAATGTTTATTGTTAGAATCATAGGATTTTCAAACAAAGCAACAGTGACGTCAGCACCATAGCATGAATGAAATTATCCAGTTTCCAGAAAGAGCGCTCTGTAGAGTGATTCCCAGACTTATTGGATTTCTTTCCAGCTGGGGTCTCAGTTGCATAATTGTGCTTATATGTTGCTTAACTAGAACTATTTTCATCTGTTACAAAAATGTTCTCATTTACTACAAAGATTGGAAGTTACAAATAAAAGGAAACGTCCTATCCATTTGGGAATCAAATACAATTAAAAGAGTCAAAACTTTATTATTATTTCAGTAATAGTTTACTAGAGACAACATCAGTTTTACACTCCTGGAGACCTTCCCTGATTGTCTTTTGATGAACATAACCAGCGTTGAAGAAGAGCAGCTGATATACACTCTTTATTTGTTTGGTAAGTTCTCCTATTCTTGCATCAAGGAACAATGTACAGTACAATTTTGGAACACATTCCCATTGTGTGATGGTGTCAAGTAGCCCAAACATACCAAAAGGCATGATTGTTTTGGTTGAATTTGTAGAAGATGATGTTAGTTACCAGATTTTTGTGGCCATAATCTCACCTTGGTATATTTTATATCTCATGTACCTCATGCAGGACAAGAGCATTACAATGGTTAATCTTCTCTGTAACTTGTAGGCAACTGTTCTTACAACAATATACATTTTAGGGAGATCACGACAGATTAATGCAACGTACCTTGAAGAGTACCAGAAGCAGGTGCAGTGCCTTGGATTACCCCCACCAGATTTCTTTGATCATGGGAAAGGTGAGCTGTATTAAATATTAGTGTATTACACACAGGCAGCACTGTGGCGCAGTGGTCAGCATTGCTTCTTCATTGCACTGGGGTCCTGGGTTTAATTCTGGACCTGTGGTGCTACTGTATCTGTGTGGAATTTACTTGTTTTTACCTTGTCTTCAAAGACATATTGGGAGGTTAAATTGCTCCGGGGGAAAGTGGCTCTGGTGTGAGTGTGATTGTGCCTGTTACTAGGCGTCCTGTCCAGAGTGTACCCTGCCTTGTGCCTGTTATAAGGTGCCTGTTATAAACCAGGATAAGCACCAGCTCTCCACGACACAATATTGGAAGAAACAGTTTGAAAATACCTGTAGATGGATGTATTATACAGTACACTACACTGTAGAATCATAATATTTAGAAGAAAATATCATGGATAGAATTTGAATGGCAGACCTTGAAAATTACCAAAGGAATGCTGGTCCTGTGAGATAACACATGATATACTCCCTCTACCTTTGGTGAAGAGAGGTTAGTTGGACCTTGGTAATCTTTTCAAACCAAGCTCTACAATACAAGTTTTACAGAAGCAAGGTCCAGCAGGGTTTATCTCTTTTTACATCACTAGCAGCTAAGGAGTTAAGCAGAATAGTTGAATCAGTCCAGAAGACAGCAGTCATAAAGAACTCCACCCTAAAGTAGTACTGAAAAATACATCGAGAAATTGATGCAAAATGCTAAAGATACTATTGTACATAACTTGCTGCAGAAACAGGGTTAACACTTATTGCTAATGTAAAACACAATTTTGTATGTAGAAAAATCCAGTTGTTTTGCTGGCACATAACTGAGAATTAATGACAAACTGTTGTTTCTCTTTCCCAGAGCTGTGTCCCTTCAAAGAGAAATCAGAAGTTTCTCATACACAGCTTTCAAAATCGGACAAAGACTAACTCCATAAAACCTTCCAGGTTGTCCAGAAAAAACAGCAAAAACCCATCTATTCTATTTTTTTTAGAATGATTGTTCACCCTTAGCAATTAGTTAATATATACATATGCACCTACTTATCTGTTACCTTGAGAGCAAGGACTAAGCATCTCTGCTTTTGTAAAACACCTTTCCCCCTTCTTACCTGCTTATTTTCCTGGTTACCTTTGAACCTCTTGGCTACATACTGTAAGTAAAACCAGCATATTTTAGCTTCCTGGGAAATAAATCAAATTACATTTTTTGGACTGAAAAAGAACTAATACATAATACATGTTAACACTAGACAATTTTGTCACTTTTCCTCTGTTGTCTGATTTCCACATGTCTTTGTAAAAATATATTTATCAGACTTCTGGAAAATTCAAAGCTATAAAATATCTTTGACAGTATTAAATTGAAATGTACATCATTGGCAATAATGTTCTCCAAACAATAAAAATAATTATATTTATTTGCCTCCCGGAGAATTTTTTCTGTTGTATTTTGTTTTGTTTTTTTTTAAGTATAAAACTATTAATACTAGGACTATCAAATTATAAATAGCTATTGAGCAGACTGTAAAAAAGCAAATCTTGAACCATATTTGCAAAGCTTGGGATAAAAATAATTTACCAGTCCTCACAGATTCTAACCTGAGCAACCTGAAGTCATTGCTCATCTAAGATCTGTGTAAGTGACTGTATCGTTCCTTCCAGAAACCTGTCTCAGGAAGGTGGACCACATTAATCCTCAGAAAACAGCTGAAGTGTCCACACAGGAATTCACCACAACATACAGTAGTAACAGTGAAAGCATGCCTCAAAAATGGTATCAACGCTTTTATAGAAACAATTAGATGCCATAACGAGATGTCAAATAATTTAAATAAATCCAACTCCAGTGATGTACAGTACAGCTCCCCTTTTCTGCCCTTTCATTGGCCTGAATTCTCCATAGTCCTACAGTGATTCTTGAAGTAATTATGGATTTATACCTCATGGGTGTGGATTTCTAGTCACAGATTGTTTTGTTTTCCATTGAATGAACAGCCAGGGGGGGGATACTTGGCAGACTTTCTTTTTTGCTTTCAGGGGGCTATATATTCCATGTAATGTTTTTTTTTTTTTTAAAGGATGACTTTTTAAAATGGATGGGGGTCAGGGGTTAGGCAGGACTACAGTACACATGTCTTATCTTGCAATAGACAAAAATAGTTTTTGCAGGGTCAAGATACAAACATCTTCTCTGAGTTTTGTGTCTCCATTAAGTGTGTGTCACTTGTCTGAGACACAGAAAATGAGCAAGCCAGCATGTGAAGGATGCTGTTTTTACAGACAATCAAAGAGGAACACCATTCCAAACATCATCATCAGAATGCATATATACTGTACAGAGAGACAGACAGGGATGAAACTGATATTTCATTTTGTTTTTTTCTGTATATTCACTGAACTGACACATCTTTGCTGGGTGTGTTTGATTTAGAAAAAAATCAGATGTGTAAATCATTAAAGTGCTTAAAAAGAGAGTATGCATAATGTATACAGTATGTATTAAATGTTTAAACAGGCTTAAACCACAACCTGCCTTTATCTATCTCTATAAGTTATTCCAGCTCCACAGAAATATCTATTGTGGGAGAAAGGTTAAAAATAAAGACTGGAAACAAATATTCAGATAGGGAGCTAGTAAGGACACCGTTGTTTCAATCATAGAGATTTCAATAGCAGACTGAGTGTAGGCTAGATTACTGAAAAAAATCTAAAACACCTGCATACAAATGATATGATAGAAACACCAGAGGAAAGCAATGGAGCGCAAATTGAACAGATGGTTTGTCTGTGATGTTCTGGCCATGTATGGATGGATACACCCTACATTACAAAACCTTCCTGGGGACAACATCGTACTCCATGCCAATATTTCAGATTGCTTCTAATGTTTTCACAGCAATAAAGCCAGTACTGTATACAGCATATACACACCATAAATCAATTTAATTGGCTACCTACTGTACTGTACTGTGTATGCATCATCCACGCAAACGGGCTCACTCTATGATGATCAGCATGATTAGAATAATTAATTGAGATAATGGCTATAGAATGTTAAGTAGAAATGTTCAGCTAGCCTGTGCTGTCAACAGTTCGCTTGCTTGAGTTTATCTCTGTTGTGTGTCGTCACCAGGTTTCCGCAGTAACAGGAACGCAGCTGCTGTTACACTGTATATATCGTTCAGGCCTGTATTGTATCCACTTGGAAACTCGAAACAGCGACTGATGAGAAGAGAACAAAACTGGGGATATCACCTGTTAGTGTGGGGGCCCGTACGCGGAGGGTCATTACACTGGGTAAAATTCTCTCTTAGGACCTTTTAACGACTACAAGAGAAACAATGAACAAGCTGGCAGCGACTCTCGTTGATAAATTACTTTCGGGCTTTTGTCTTTTCACCTCACCTTCGCTGTACGGTACTTCATTGATTGTAGCTAGACTGTTCTAGCTACATTTAGATGAATATAGAATATACTACTTGAGAGGTCACTTTGGACTTCGGAAACCAAACTTTGGTGAACACGAATACGCTAGAATACAGTACATTCTGTGACCACCTATTTTACCGAAGTACTTAATACAATGAGACAATCTGCCCAAGTAATACGTTGAAGGTGATACTGTATATAATGATTGTGCCATTTGCTTGTTGTTTCACGTGTTGATCTGAGTTTTCTCACTTAATAAGGGACAAATCTGCTCTTCTTCTTTTTGTTTCCTACCGAATTTACAGTAGGATTTCCGCTAACCACAAATCATTAATTGGTAAAGGACGAAATTTAGGGCGACTTGAGTGTCATTACAGTATCTCCGTAGTATTTCTAGTTATTTAAAACAATAAACTTGATTTGGAATCTACGAATTACCCACCTACTGTACCTTTTTTCATTTCCCCCCCGAAGTGGTACTGTATGTTGCGCCTTCGTTTGTACAGCAACACTACTAAGGCAAGCCATCGTATAGCAGTGGGAGACTTTCTCGAAGAAACGCTTAAAAACCTGAAATGTTTTCATTTCAAGTGAAATAAGGCTGGCGATTCGGGAGTTGTATAAATGGTCAGAATGCTTTAAAATGTGGATAGTAGTAGAACGTCACTTGTTCAGAATTTGGAATCATCTTAGAATAGTTTGTTACATACAGTACTGTATTGTTCCACCACTATTTAAAGCTACTGCGAAGCAGCAAGCCCGCCTACTGCCTTTAAAAAAACAAATAAAACAAAATACAGACAAAATTAATCTATTAACGTCCACGTAGTCATCAGATACTGCCAATCATTCATTTATTTACCTCGTACTGAGCAGTATTTCTATTTGCATCAACACATCATCAGTCAGCTATAGTTGTACTAACCTGTTTCACAATGGGTGATTAGGGATTAGAAAGCGGAAATAAAACCCTTACATTCATCTAAAGTGCAAAGGAAATGACAAAAGATCAGGAAAACTGCTCTAGTTAACATGTTTAGAACTTGTGTTCCACAACATAGGAGTTGGGATCTTAGGCTAAATGCATTTCAGCACTCAAAACACAGCAGTAATCTTATATGTTAAATGCATGTTAACCCTAGTTGGTAGAGGTAGGTTACATAACAAAAATATACTGGTTACCTTACTATACAGTACATGGTTATGTGCAAGTATGGATGATCACTTCAACACCTATTTCAATAAGTACAAAAATGTTGAAAATGATAACTAGCTTGCATAATTAATTGATCCAGAATTATAAAATGATCTGTCCAACACTAAATCAACAAGACATTATGTACATCCTGCTGCAGCACATATTCCCTTTCTTATGTCAAATCTATTTAAAGTTTTAAAGTACTTTAAGCATTCATAGGCCTGTGACCCAAAATGTTTTCTTTTCTAAAGTCTCACTTGTCAAGCAAGTCAATAGATGAAGTAATACATGTCAGTTCTGGTGTAATTGATCGATTGAACAAGGGCTACAGTACAAAACCATATGCACAGACTTTACTCTAATTCTATATAATCCCACTTTTTCTCAGTCTAACCCCACAAGAATTACTCGTCCAGAGCACTTTGCAGAATGGTTGCAGCTGAGCAGTTGGCTTGTTCCGTGGCAGGTGCGAGGGGCAGATGGCGGATATTAACCGGCTCTGCTCTCCAGTGGCGGTGTATGAGGAGGATGTGAAGGAGAACCCAGTTACAGCGCAGAGGAAGAGGGAAAGTCAACAGGAAGCGACCCGGTCCCCAGTGTGTATCCTTCCAAGCCTGTCCAGCCCAATCGGCGTGATGCATAGCCAGTCTTTTAATTAATTCCAATCTCTGCAAATTCCTATAAGACACAAACACATCTGAGATTTTCAAATGATGAGTGACGTCATGCTTTGCCATTTATTGTTTCGTTCTTTCAACAGTTTTGTTAAGACACAGAGAGAAAGGCTATACAGTGAAATGATTGGATTGCTTTTACAGGAAAATAAAACAGCACTTTTTATCCCTGTAGCCTTCATGCTTTTGTAAACTGTTGCATCATTCCTTAACTTCTCGATTGAAAGCTTGCCTGGTGGGCACCATAGGGAAACTAAATAAGAAAATCACTCATCTACAGCTTGATCTACAGCAGTACGGTAAAAGGCCGGTGAGTCTCTTGGACCTTACTGCCCAAGCCCTTTAGCCTCTAGCCATGGGGTAACAAAAAGTAATTACTCATGTAATTCAATTTAATCTTACTGCTGGATTCATTCCAAAATTTATTTTTTACTTTGAAGTATTAAAATAGTTCAAGGTAAAGCACTTTTATAATTGACTTAAGCTTTAAAATCAATTGTTGAAGACCTTAAAAATAAACATATTAAATGGACTCAGTAACCAGAACCAGAACACATGTAGACCCTGTACTCCATAAGAAGTGAACAATTAGCCCAGCCTCATTGAAAGCTGATAGTGAAGTAGGAAACTATTCTTTGCATAAAATGCATTTAAATATAAAAACTAGTTGGTGTAGAGTATCATAAAACAAAATGTCATTTTGTTTTATGATACTCTACACCAACTAGTTTTTATATTTAAATGCATTTTATGCAAAGAATAGTTTCCTACTTCATCAAAAAGCACACACTGCAGGCTGAAGATTTCATACTTTCATCAGTCACCTGGTCCTGGACATACCCTTGTGTCTGACGTTGTTTTGTGTTTTAGCCAGCTCTTAATCACCAGTACTTATTGGTACTTGTAAATTATCTGATTGCAGGTTGAACATTTTAAGTCTTTAGAACTTTAAGCAGTGTCTTCCGAACTTACTAATTTTGAACATCCAAACAGATCTTAATAGGTAATCAATTGGTGATGTACACTGAGACACAGGTACAGACATAACTTTGTATCAGGCAACTTCCACAGTGCACCAGTGTTTTTTCGCTCTGCTTAAATCAAATTGGTTATATCTCAGTTGGTACACCTGAATCAGAATAATCTTGAATCTCACTAATTATAAAGGAGTTCATACCAATTATAAACCTGACTCAGCTTTTTAAGAATATAAAGCAAAGTTAAAATAAGGTCTCAAATAGAAAATTGACCCAAAATAGCCTCTGGTTAAAAGCTGAATTGGTGCAGAACCAGAAGATCCAGGACCAGGACTGAGACCCACTGCTCTGAGTTGACTCTTTTAGAAGACAACTGTATTGATAGCTATAGACCATTACTCCACAAATAGTCAAACACTCGCTTCAGCTAGATATTAGTTCACTTGCACATCTCAGTTGACTGTGTCATCTTTTTTCAAAGTGGAAGATATACTGTAACAATTTTCTGTGGTAACTTTGCACCAACGTCATCTTTCAGGTCACTTTTAATGGATATGAAAGGCCAAAGGGGCAGATGGGCTTCACTCCTGAATCAGAGGTGAATGAGAAGGTCCGATGCCAGGTACTCAAGTGCAAAGGTACTGTTGGAAAAACTCCAGTCATACATCTAGGGTCACTATGTAGCACATTTTTTACTGTGCTAGATTACAAAACATGAACACAGCACAGAGTGTATTCAAAAGCCAACTGTCAGACATTGAAATTCAACCAAGACTGCAGGCAGACTAGTAAAGGTGTACTGCAACATTCTGTAGCAGTCCATAGGCATCCATAGCCTTTCGGAACAGAAGATACTTTCAACTTTTTTTCCTTTTCTTGTGCCTTCCCTGGTTATTACAGAGAGAGATGAGAAGGACTTGCAGGAGATCTCACATGTCTCCCCAGAACATCCGTCGCATTCCCTGCAGCTGGACAGGCAACACAAGGGCAACTCGTGTCTTGAAAAGGTCAGAGGCTACTGGTCGAGATATGAAAGGATGAGTTCAGCATGGGCTAAATGAACACTGATAGAGCCACTGTACACCTACATAACTGTCAATAGTGAAATATGCACATATTTGGTAGTTTCATACATTTATATGACTATACAAACCACAGTAAGCTATGAAGATACAGTATCTCAGAGAGACCCCAAACTTGAACTTGTGAACAAATGAACACAATGCTTTATTCATTTTGCAGAGCACTTTTTCATGGCCAGGCTAGTCACAACATTTGAACAAATTTCATAGGACGAACTGGCTTTGTACAAACATAGGGATGAGTATTTTCACCATGGTCTAGGTGTTTTCTAAACCATACTTAAAAGTTTCGTTCAGCCTTCAGAAGAAGATTAAAATAAATAAGTCAGAAACGATGGATTTGACCAAAACAATAGATCCTTCGTTTATTTCTGTATGGTCCTAAATTGGTTTGTTAAAGAACATTCCTTGATTCTTGTGTCAACTTCAGAAATTATGGCAGCAAAAATTTGGTGCCGGTTTGATTCTTCCACCGTGTTTCCTTATTTCAGATGGAAAAAGACAAACCCAAGCTGGTGGAACTTCATCAATATCCTGGCTTTTCTAATGAAATGCCAACACTACTGCCAAACAACATAACCCTCGACACTATCATCTCTCGAGTGATGAAAGCCCAGAGTCATCTGGCCAGAAAAGTACTGGTTTATTCTTTTCTTAATAGGATAACCTACTTGAATTACATGTTTATTCCAGAAGCATCACATTCAAATCTAATAGGATGTATTCATTTTTGTTAGATTGCTTTGGTTGCTGCAACTTAAAAAAAAAATTATAGTGTGTTTGTCATGATAAATTATGTATATTTGCTCTCCAAAGTCATGAGAGACATTGCTATTGTTTTCTTTGCTAATAGCTTTTATGAATGCATTTAGTTTAATTGTATAATCTATATTAGATAGGGAAGATTAAATAAGGAGCATTTTAACTGATCCCAGAAGCTCTGTGCACTTTAGCATAGATGCCAAGCAGAATTTCGGAGTCTCTTGGCCTTGCCAGTCATGGAGTACTTTCTGCTGGATTCCTTCTGGTTTATCTTTCTTCAAACTTATCAGGTGAGTGAAAATTGATGATAGATGTTAAAACATTGACAGAATAAAGTGAAGACTTTATTAGTCCCCTCTCTTTAAAGTACAATTGTCATAATTAAAAAATAATTTTGCCCAGAAAATTGTTTAGAGTGCAAGGAATTTGCTTGGTGTGTCATCCATTAAACTCTCATTGCGCCATGCAATAGCTTGGACAATAATTTCTTCTGTATTGGAGAGACATAAAATGTACAATAGAAGAGTATGAACCTCCTGTGATAACAAACGTTAATACACAAAAGACAAACGGAGACATAAAATACACATATAAACAGTGTGGTTGTTTTTGCACCCGGTGTATAACTTGTACTTCTTGCATCTCTTACAGCACCTACATTAGAAATTCTTCATACAGTAACTGTTTTCTATTCTAAACTTTTTCCTGTCAAAATATAAGTTTTACACAACAGTCCTATAACACTTTAGTTTAGAATTGCAATGAAAATTGTAATTAAATGTCCATTTTTTATTTATGTCCAGGTGATTACTACTTAATTTATGTTCCTACTTATTTACCATACCTATGGAGAATTAACATGCTACAAAGTATTGAAAACCATCATAATGTTCTGTCTTTAGTGTTGCAAAGGCCTTTCTGACTTTCCTTTTGGGTTTGGCTGCAAAATTAAGGCAGGGTTAAGTTTAGTTTTTAACATTTAATGGACATCTTTCTGTATTCTCTCCTAGCCTGAACAAGACTCTCAGGATCAGCTGTTTTCACGACTTTCAGAAAATTACATCCAGCTTCTGACCCATTGTTTGTTCTCCCGCTATGGTGACATTTTCTTGAAGGTAAAGCCTAGAAGAGCTAGGAAGGATGAGGATAAAAAATGACAACATTTCAGAGTTGTATTGAAACAATACAATTTAATCAGCGTTTCACATTGAACAACCATGGTTTATAACAGAAAAGGTGAAATTATGCCTGAATCTGAGTCTCTCCACTTGGGTGTCCTTTGTTGGGCACTAGCTACTTATCAGCACAGAGCACATTTTAAAGATGGGTTATTATTTACTGAAATTTAAGGGTTAAAATATTAGATGTAAAACACAACAAATTGTACTTTTACAGCCATCATGGCATAAATTGTATGACTCACACACAATACAGACAGTATGAACTGTACTGTACCTTTGTGGACTGATAAGAACAGTATGCCTTGACTACCTTTTGTAATATACAGTATGGCATTAAAATATTGCTCCAGTTCCTCCAATTAATTTTGCATGCCCATACACAACACGTAATCATATTCTATTAGTGCTGTAGTGTATGGTTCATCACTATTCAGTACATTGCCGAGTGCTGTGTTCTGACTCAATAGCTAGTTTAGTCCATTGGATGGTGCTCTCTGATTTACAGAAGTGTAGTTTTAAGGAGCAGAGTCATGCTCAACTTTCTTCTTCTGTGTGGTCTTGCAGGAGTTCCCCAGCACTCTGTGTCAGATACTGTACTGCTGCTTCTGCTGCTGTTTTCCTCAGTCCTGCAGCACCTTTCACTGTGACACCTTTCTCTCGCAGCTGTGCAATACTGCCTACCAGTGGATTGGAGGTGAGGTTGCACTCAGACCAGAGACGGCTGCCACCAGCAGCCAGCTTTGATTATGCAAAACAAGTAGTCTTTTTGCAGATTTAATGGGTATTTCTCAAAGAACGATTTTGACCCTGTTTTAATTTTCTTTCCATTAGGTGAAAAATGTTAACGTCTGTTCAATGCTGTAGTTGAATATGAAAAAAAAACATTTGTTGATTTGTGTGTTTATTAAAATCCTGAGATTATTTTTTCGTTGGGATATACTGTAACTATGTGTGGCTAAAGTAAGAGTGAGGAAGCCTTGTTAATGGTATCAGAGATCTGAACCTCTTCCTCAGGTACCCGACCCACCCCTGGGGTCTTCAGCCAGTGGGATTTCTCATCTCTGGAGCCCGAGGAAGCGCGGAAGGTGGAGCTGATGTCTGGGAGTGACAAGAACAAGAAGACGAAGGGTGAGCTGTTCTAATGGAAAGTGATCTCAATTCTGCGACTGGCTTCAGAAACTGTCTGCCTACCCTTACAACACACAAATCCAATACAAGAGAGCAGTAGCATATTTATCCAGGTGAGGATCAATGCAATAAAGGACTATATAACTACACTAAGCATTAAATACCAAAAGTGTATTTTCCTGCAAGTTGCTAAGTTAAAAAGACCCTAAATGGGGCCCAGTACCCTCTTACAATAGTGTAAAAAGCACATAGAAATGCCTTAACTCTAGAGTTGATGGAAGACGAAAATGCAGGTGTCTCTCTCCTCAGCTTCCTGGAGGGCCGTTCATATTAAACTTGTTTCAGAACCACACTGAACCTTGAACTCTGGTCTGTACTGTAGGTCCACACAGACCTATATGGAATGGAGTCATCCTTTTTTATTCCTCACTCTCTCAGCAGACTTTGCTGTCTCCACTCTTGGGTCCTTTCTTGCCTGAACTCTTGGCCTTTTCTGTACTCTCTTCTCCTGACCCCTCCACTCCATAAATTGTATGATAACGTTTTTCATCTCGTATTTCAAACAGTAACTACACATCATTGAACTATATGAGGGAAAGTAAATAGATTTGTCTGTGCTGAGATGGGTGTGTCAATTATAAGTCATTCAGTAGTTTTCTCTATAAGAGAAAGGTATGGATAACAGAGCAAGTTGTGTGTGTTTGCTGTCTTTTCACAGGATCAAGTTTGTCTTTCCTGGATGCTTACTCGTCCAGCTCCTGTGTGCCCTGTCTTCCATCATGCAGTCGTCACCCTAGCTTCACAGCGGCACGGTTCAAAAGCAGAGTGAGTTCCACAGTGCCCAAGTACCCAAGCTTTATTTCCACTTCACAGACTATTCTAAGGCTTTGGTCTGCAGATAACGGTTTTTCGCAGTACACATGTAGGGAAGCAAGACATCACAGCACAGTTCAGTGTAGTTTTGAAATACGTTTATTTTACACGGACCCTTGGAGAGTACAGAGAGAACCCAGCATACACATGTGTCTCAGAGCAGAGTGGGAGAATTAGTAGATTGGGTATTTTATACACTTGACCAATCTTTTGTGTTACCTTAAATGTCGTCTTTTAAGCAAACAACTTATATTTACCACAAATTGTAAAAGACCAAACATCGTATAAGAACATTTTACACAGGAAAACACATCATAGTCTACACTCATTAAAAGCAAATGGGTAGTATAGAAAGCAAGCAGTGAATAAAACAGTTTTTCAATTGTTCATTTTTGTGCGTAGATTTTGAGTACAAATGTGGCCACTGTTGAGTACAAATTCTTGACACTATAAGCAAAACTTTACTTAAGCAATCATAAAACAAGCCAAATATGTTTCTTTTTTGATGGGAAAGATTCTACTATAAAGAGAACTTCTGTTTTGTTTCATTTTTGATAAAACCTAGAAATATAGAAAAGTTAGAAAGCTAAAAAAGGAATTGTTTTAGGATTAGAGCTTGTTCTAACCTGATTCAGAGTTAACAAAAGGATGTGTGAGCTACTGTATGAACTGGTTTTGAATTCTATATAATGTAGGCTTTATCAGTATACATTGTAAGGCTTTGTGTGTTCCAGAGTTCCCCTTTTTCTGCTAGCATTCCTAGTCTTGCAAGTGTGCACTCCAAAGGCTTGCAGGAAACCCGCAGCTATGTTTCCATTACAGCAGGTGAGCTCACCCCATAGTTTGTCCGTCCTACATTCAGCAATGCTCAGGCTACTAAAAAGCATGCAAACTCCGCGGATAGTGTACTTCTGGTTAGTTTAATGAGCAAAATAATACATATTTCGCTTATATTTCTATTTTAAGCCCAGTTCATCCTGCAATTAATCCAAAGTAAAGTACTGTATCTGGTATATATATATATATTATTTTCTGTGTTGTGATATTTCCACAAGTACACTTTAAAAATATATTTTTTTTACGCAGTTAAACATGGTATACAGTAGGAGTATGGCCCTAAAGATGATTGTTTTCTGATTTATTAAGTAACTAAAAAGGTAATGGAAGTTAGACATGCAACCACATGAGTATCTTTTTTATTAGATCCTGCTGATGTCCAGAACAAAAAGGTTGGGGCAGAATTGATGGTTTTCTCTTCAGAGGCTGATGGGACCTATTACCACCCTAGGAGAGAGGTCAGCAAAGGGGAAAAACTCTCCTGAAATAGGATCTGAACACCGGAAACATAGATCCTACATATACATTTCTTTAAATTCAAAGATCATTTAAAGTCTTAGGGCAGACATTAACTCACAATGTAAGGTACTGTAAGTTCCTTAGCACATCTGTTCAAATTTTATAACTTCAAAACAGTATAGTGTAAAAAGCCAGATTTAGCTGTTAAAATGACACACAACATAGGAAATAATACAAGATTAGATAAGATAAGATCACTTTATTGGCCATATACAATTTCCTGTATTAGGAATTTGTCTTTTCACATACCCCAAATTGCTCTCCATGTGACACACAGTCAGGGAGAGAAACTTGGGGTCAGAGCGCAGGGTCAGCCATTTATACGGCGCCCCTGGAGCAGTTGGGGTTAAGGGCCTTGCTCAGGGGCCCAATGGCGTAGGATTCCTCTGCTGGCCATGGGTTACAAACCAGCAACCTTCCAGATCCTCAGCCACAGAGCCACTGCACCGCCCTACTCCCAAACTTTCAAATGAATAATAGGAATTTTCACAAGTCAAAACAAAGATGCAGTCTGCTGATGTATTCTGTTGTCAACTTCTCTGTCACTGTCTCTTAGTCCCACCCTGCCTGTCCTGGGCCATATTTCAAGAGATGCACCTTCAACCTTTGGGGCCACAGCCCTCTGATGCAGTTTTACCTTCAGAGACGCCAAGCAGACACACAGGCAGGCCTGGACTTCCTGGTGCAGAGATCAGAGATTCATCAACTTCCTCCATATCCTTCACTTCATAATACCTGTCTTGACTTTCCAGATGTTGATAATATGCTGCACTGAATGGAGGGACAATTTCAGTTTTTTTATAGAAACTCTATAGAAATAATAGGGGACACACATGTTTTGCCCACTGCAGAAATTTAATAGTTACATGGTTTCACAATTTGTGGCCCAGGTTTTCTCCCCAAATCATAATCCTAAATTCGCACTGTCAGTGATATGCTTCTTGAGTGAAGGAGGCTGAATGCCTCCCATTATGCAAATGACAGAGGACTGTGCCAACCTGTCTATTCCACTGGTATACTGGTAATAGCATCAAGCTGATTGAGGGCTGCTGTCTTTCTCAAAATTGACCCTTAGGCTGTTTTGTTTCGATCTTTGCATTGCTTGCAGGTGTTTTAAGAGAACAGGTGATCCACACAGGACTAAGGCTGTTTGTTTGGCATAGTCAAACTTTGGTATTGTCTGCTTTCCATTGGCATGTAATTCAGACTATAGTGCCTTGACCCTCTGTGATCACAGCGGACTCCAGCACATACTGGGAGATCGTGTGCCAGGCTCACCAGCAAATACAGGCTCAGAGGAGAGTTATTGGAGCCCTGCGGTCACAACAAGCACGAGACCTGGCCAGCATGCATCGCAAACAGCTGTCAGAGCGGCACGAGCTCTTTAGGTATGCAGTGTGGTGCCAGCAACATAATGACCTAGTCATAATGCAGGATGATACTCATGATCACAGTGGGCACGCAAGCAAACCATTATGTTACATGAGAGGAAAAGACTAACGTTTAAAGTTTAAAAAAATCATTCACAATATATTTAACTTATTAGAAATCCATTTTGTCTGAGTTTTAGAAACATTCTGTTTACTTAGGCTGATCTGCTTCTTTATGGAAAGGTATTTCATATACTAAAAAACATTACCATAAAAGCCAGAAACCCATGTCGTTTCCTACAGAGAATAGTGGCATGAGGGTACACATAAACAGTAGCTTATATTATTTTGTAGACTTTGGAATGACTTGAACCAGTACATTACTGCCATGCACTATATGGCCATTCGTATCACAGAAAAATGCCTTGGAAACTCCTCCTTCCTAATGCATCACTACTCAATTTCCACAGGAAGGAGAAGAAATTACTGTCTTGTAAGCGCACTGTTAAAAGAATGTGTCAGCTTTTGGTCCCAGATAAAAAAGTAAGTAATATTAATAACTACAAGAAATATCAGTATATTATCCCATCATTACACTTATGATATTATTTTAAAGTGAATTGTATCAACAGAAATCATCATATACTTGAATTGCATCATGGTTGTAACATTTCAAAGTAATGTGCAAAAAATATTGTTCTGATCTGTGTGGAGATCTTCGTGTAATACAGAGTACCTACATTCACACGTTTTACTTAATTTTGAGAAACAAATATAATATGCAAGTGTGGCAAGTTTGGTATCAAGTATAGTCTATTAAGAATATGTAAAAAGTCAAAAAAGCAAAACCAAAAACAATTCAAATTAATGGAATGTATTCGAAAATAACATTTTGACTACAAATCTTTAAATTCTGAACTGTACAATGGTCTCAAAGAGCAGCTTGTATTTTGATTCAGATGAATGAACCGGTGAAGACAAAGTCAGAAGTCACCCAGGCATTTGAAGCCGCGCTCCTGGCCCAGGACTGACGTGTACGTCTGGGGCATGCTGGGAAAGCATTCCTGAGCAGCGCTAGTAACTATGAAGAAAGCAAGCCGCAATGAACGTTCATTTAAATAAATAAGAGTGCCCCTTCTTTGTGTTGTTTATTGCTACAGGACGTTTGTTTTCCACAGACTAAAAATAACTTCGTTGTAATATACTTTTAAAGAAAGGAAGAGTTTTCAATTATTCCTTATTGGTGCATTGAGAAAAATGGACACAAGAGGTTGGCAGAATTTAGAAGAGTTGACTTTTTACAATTAACTTCTATATAAAAGTTAATTATTAAATTACGGATTTTTTAAAATGGGTAAGATTATTGTGTGCACCCATAAGCATATACTGTATATCTAAAATAGGTAAAAATGGAAGAATAAGCGTGTATATGCATATTACAAAATCTAATAATCTGTCTTGAGCTTGTCTTCATATGTATTGGGATTGGATTGTGATTTAAAATTCCAGAAATTCTGTTTTACTAGACCTGATAGAGGTCTACTTGTTAAAAGATTCATAACTACAGTATATTGATAATATAAAATATACAGTGAAGTGAAATATATGGGAGAATGTGGGAACAAAACTAAATATGGTAAGTACTGTACTGTACATCAATGCCCCCTGTATTTTTTTACTGTATATTATTTTAGAGGTGGGGCAGTTTCCTGAGGTATAAAAGCTCTATAAATGTTATATTTGGTAGCCTATAAAAATCTTGGTGCATTTTAGCCTGGTATTTTTTTTAATCAATGTTCAACTTTAGAGTAATCCGTCTACAAATCTGCTGGTGGTAATGTGTAGATTCTGTGCTTTGAACAGCAGAAGAGGAGGGAGACATACAGTACAGTACTTTGCACCATTACTTCAGCGAACACACGCAACACCGAGTGACGCTTCTGTCGTCAAGGAGCGCTCGTATCCACGTTCGAATAATGTCTTGGAAACCAAGCCTGGCAAATCTTTCACCGCGGACTCCGCCAGCGTCAGCGAATGAGCTCCTGTAAAGATAACCTAACCTTATCTGGTTTTGGAATACTAAAAATTGCTTAGGACATACAGTAGCTATATTATTCTATATTGGACAAAATTAAACTTTGAGTTCAAGATACGCTAGCAAGCTTGTTACAAAATGAGTGGTTTTATACTTGGCTCACTTGGCTCTGATAGAAAACGCTTCCTATTTTCTTAAACGGATTGGGAGACAGTCGTCTACATGGATCGGGAGTATAGCGGCGTAGAAATGTTTATAACGTAATACGTAGAAGTGCGTAAATTAGTTCTATTTCTTAGTGTTCAGCGTCGCGCTGGGAGTTCACAAATGATACCGTAGAATAATCTTCTGAGCTAGAACTGCTGACTGTGCAAAAGACACGCATTCAAAGCAGTACACTTGTGCCCGGAGATGCTTAGCTCAGCATCAGCGACCACGTCTCCAACGTGTTCGCCTCCGCTTGCCGGTGTCCGCTCTGCCGAGTGCGCACCTGCAGAGCAAGCCGAGCAGTGCCGTGAGACCGCGCAGGGCTGGTACACCGGTGAGACAGTGGCCGGTAAGAAACACGGGACAGGTGTACAGCACTGGCCCGATGGCTCCCGCTACCAGGGGCAATTTGTCAGCAACCTGAAGCATGGCTCAGGGGTTTTCACTTGGGCCAATGGAGAGGTGGGTCTTTCCGTCGCGTAACTCGTCTCCTTTATTATTTTTTTTTGAACCATTGTGATTGTTAGCGTGTTTTCGTCATTATTATTTGTTAAACCATGCAGATGATTATTTTTTCTTAAGAACTGTAACAACTGCCAGAGACCTACACTGTATCAACAGGGAGAAGGGATCGAACTGAGCGAATGATTATTTCTGCTACTACTGCGTTTGAAACATCTTAACGAATTCTGATTGGCCTATTGAAAATATGCCGGTTGCTTTGAATAACTAGTAATTAGTTAACTGGTAGTTAGTGCTGTGGAAATTGTAATCATAACAAAGTTAATGCATACGATTCACTACGAGCAAATTATTTGTTGAAGGTTTACCCGGTTTGGTTGTTTTTAAGTACTATATAGGCATTAGGAGCTGAAACAGCTCTGGATAAAAACATCATCCAGAAATCGGGGTGATACCATGGGAACAGTAAATCTCCCAGGGTGTTTCCAGTTTCTCTCGCCATTGTTCACAAACTCTAGACGGAGGTTTGAACAACAGTGCAATTTAACCGCCTAAATGACAGGCAACCGAAACAAGTTACAGTAGAAATAATAATGACCCGTGTAGGAAATCTGTTAAACTTTCTTCACAACCTTCGTGTGTTTGGAGTGAACCGTGTCAAGCTAAATCACGATGCTTCTGTTAAAATGCAGGATCCTATATTCCGCAAAATTTTACATTTTACATTAGAATGAATTCTGTGCCAAAGCTAAGGTCGCAAACGACAACAAAAATGCCATTGAAGCTCTTCAACGTTATAATGTTACATTAACCTCTTACAAAATACTGAGGCAAAGACCGGCTGCTGTTAGTGCTTTCTTTTCTCACACATTTCTTCCACCTTTTTCTCAAGCGCTACAGATAATAGCAGCACAGTCTGAAATTCAGCAATACTATCTGATTATTTTCACAGCACATTTACAGTATTATTTAAAGTACACATTGTTTGAATACATACAGTGTTGGGGGAAAAAAGCACAAACCTTGAAAACAATATCAAATAAGAAAATCCTAACACAACATCTTGTCTGTTTGAGTTTTAAAGAATCACCCCAAAATACAGTGCACATGTCCTGAAATACATGTTACAGTAGATCATCAACTACTATTGAAATGGCTAAATCAAAAGAGAAAAGCCTTGGGCTTTAGAAGATTAAAGCAATTAGCATTACCTTAAAGCTATGGCTTAATGTGCTAGTTATTCTCGCTTTTGACTTCATCAGAAAGAAATATAGTGTCTCTAAACTGCAGTTGGCAAAGCACTTCCTAATGCACTGCTAGAAAAACTAACATGATATACTGTATGGCTGTACCTAAAAGCTAAATTTGATTTTCTCGAGTGTCTTGAAAATACAATATTACTATGTACAGAAAGCATTTTAAAGGCAGCCAGCTGCCATCTGAAGCAAGGCATGTCAATCAGCAGGCTGTGTGCCAAAGCCACACTGTGTTATCTGCCAATACTTCTTCTCCACCCGTAGAGAAGAAATGTGATCGGGCTGCTGATTTACAGTATGCAGCTTTTTTTATTTTTTATACTTGCCGTTATATCATTTATATTTTGGAGTAAACCTATTATTTAATCTTAAATAAGTAAATGAATACTGGTGAATCAGGTTTACAGCGGGGAGTTCTGTAAAGATTATCGCCATGGTGATGGGACATATTCCTGGCCTGGGGGCTCCAGATTCATTGGAAAGTTCTACTTGAATCGGAAAGAGGGCTATGGAGCCCTTCACCTTCCAGATGGCACTACCTTTCAGGTAATTTGTCTCCCTGAACAGAGCTGACTTCACTGGGCTGCTAGTGTAATTTTTCCTTTAGGCTGGAAATTGTTAATTTACAAAATGAAGAAAATATTTACGTCAATGAAATGGGAGAAAATGGTTAGAAAAACAGTTGTTTAGTCATGGCCAAAAATTGATACAGCTATGACCCCTTTCTTTACAAAAACAATCACAATTACTGCTTTTCATTTTTTGATTACCGTTGATACTGTATTTTCTGTGATTTAGACACTTTGCAAGTAAGATATTTTTTTAATTGATTGCCAACGCTGTACGGGCATTTTGTAGAGTGTGCAGGCTTGTTTGTCTATACGTCATATCGGATTCCTCTTGTTACAGTAACTCTTGATCTTTGACCCTGTAGGGACTGTACCATGCAGACGAGCGTTTTGGGCCAGGTGTAGCGACATACCCTGATGGGCAGCAGGATGTGGGCCTGTGGCACAGGGATCATCTGCTGCAACTGTGCACTCATCTGCCTGGAGCTTTCACTCTCCGTGGCTTCCCTGAATACTGTGAATGTCTGGGGCCCAGGGAGGAGATGGCGCAGGGGGCAAGGGTAGGAAATAAGAGAAATGCAGAGAGGCAGAAAGCAGCTGAGCCCTTCTACTATGACTATAGGAAACTCCTTGAGGATGAGCACTTTATACTACCACCTGAAATTGAGAACTACTCAACGGACTCTGACCATCTGCCCCTTCCCCAGTCCTTGAGGAAGGAGCTGGATAAGCACTTTTTTAAAGTGCAGGATTACAATTTAGAAGAAAGGTCAGCTGTCTCTAACTCTCTGCCCCTTCTTCATCGCATGCAATGGCACATCCAAAGACACAGGTAATTTTCAGTACTCGAATTCACCCACCTTCACATTGCTTAATGTCCAGTTAGCATGAATGCATGAATGAAGTGAACATTTCCTGTGTGTTTTTATAACTTTATTATCATTTTTCATGTAATCCTAATTAAAGAATAATATACTGTAAATGCAGGAGGGGAGCCACTTCATTTACCTTTGAAGTGTACTGTAGCACTTACCGGAGATTCTTGTGGCTACTGTGTCTCACCTAACCTTAAATATATCATGTTCAAAAGTGAAAAACTAAAAGTAAATAAAGGAGTAACTATTAGTAGGACAAAGAAAAAGAACAGATTGGATTTAGACAGGTGACTGAATCAAACCCTTGGGAGGTGCCATGGGATCTTTAATGGTCAAAAGGAATGCACCTTCTATAGCATAGTATCCCCAGCCATCTTACTGGGGCATTGGTTAGGAACTCAGAGGTCTCCCATCACAGGATAAGTTCAGCCTCTGAGACCTGATGAGATCAGGCTACAGTATGGTGATGCAGTCATTTGAAAACAACATTGTTCAGACATACTGTATCTGCTCCGGTACTGACAATCGCTTGTATTTAAAGCATACTGTCTGTCACAATTTCTGTCCATCCATTTTCTAACCTCTTTATCCAGTACAGGGCCACATGGGTAGCCAGAACATAATGCGAGAAGTAAAAGGCACAAGGCAGGGCATACCCTGAATGGGACACCTGTTCATCATAGGGAATAGACAGACACAAACATGCTTACACTCACACCAGGGCCAAATTTACAGAAGCCAATTATGCTACCATTATGTCTTTGGGCTGTGGGAGGAAACCCCCTTTAGACATGGGGAAAACATATAAATTCCAGTCAGATAGCACCCCAGGAATTGAGCCCAGGGCTCCACCACTACAAGGCAGCAATGCTAGCTGTTGTACCACCATGCTGCCTGCTGTTTCATATATAAATTAAAATTTTAGTCTGATTGGAAGAGAGAACTAATCATACAGTATCTATTCAATTTATTCTTAACTTATTCTTACTAAATAACTCCTTTTTTAACATCAATGAAATGAAGTTCTGATAATGAAGGGCGTGGACAGAACTACTGTAAGTTCTGCAAAGTGAGAGACAATCACAGAGTGAAATGATTTCCTGCCTTGAAGGCCAGATCAATCTGATCACTGTGCTTGCATCTTTCTGGTAGGCACGGCGCTGAAGGGCTTGACTGGAATATAGAGGCATTGCTGTCAGGTAGGCGGGACGGATTTGGACCCAAAGGCCCACAGGAGCTGAACTCAGAGCGGCTGATCCAGGAAGCCTCAGAGGGGAACACCCAGAATGTGTATAGGATCCTGCAAGACGGGCTGGCACATGTGGATGTCGGTGATGCCAGTGGCCACACTGCTCTGATTGCAGCAGCTGTAAGAGGACTGGCTAGGAGCTTTCAGAAAATGCAGACGACACAGACAATAATTCCATTCACATATTTAACAGTGGTTTGAGCACAGTGTATGAGAGTAATCACAAAACAATTAATTTACAGCTTCTCACCTTCAGATATGAGGCTTTTCAGTCTGTTTTACTCAACAATGTAATGATTTGAGATTAACATTCTGAGAGTTAAATTATAGTAAGCTGTGGAGATGTGTAGTATGTAGACAAAGAGGAAAACAGCTTTTTCCTGTCTCTCAGGTGAATTGCCACAATGAAGTGATAAACCTCCTGCTGGACAGAGGAGCTGATGTAAATAAATTGAACAGTGAGGGGCTGTCCGCACTGGCAGTGTCCCACATGCTGTACTATCCCTCACAAACATTTCAGCTCAATGTGGCTGAAGGGATGGATTGCAAACCACAGGTGGGTGATCTCACTGTAATCTCTAGAAGACAGGGTACAAGATCAAAACTGTTAAAAGGAAAAACATTAATGGTAATTAAGTCCCTTTGATGTCACAGTTACAGATTAAAGACTGATGATTTTCCAGTTTGCCTGTTTTGAACTAGTTAAGTTATAGCACTTTCAAATGTTAATCATGTGTGACTAGTCTGGTTTAGGCCTTGAAGTCATAGACTTCCCAATATTCCTATTTCTACAGGAGTGCATTGCAACAACATTGTACTTGTCGGAGAGAAAATACATTTTTAGAATCATTCAGTTGCAGATCCACCTCTTTGTAGCTGAATTTGACATTAGATCTTGTAGAACCCTGACGGCTGTGAAGTGATGTTTTTATGCTTGGGGTGCAGGAGGAGGAATGTGCTATGAACTGTGAAGAGACTACTGTAGAAGTCGCTGCTCATGAAGAGGCTGACCATGCCACCGATTCTGAAACAAACATGGTGCCTACAGCACGAACTATACAGGTGCAAGATGGCCGAATTAAGCTGGGGTCTGTCTCTTGGCCTGAGTCCCATCCTGCAGCCTCTGGGGAAGGGCCAGAGCGAGACGATGATGTGAAGGGATGCCAAGACACTGTCTTTGACTCAGCCTGCAGTCTGGCCAGCTTTGACATTGATGTGACAGAAGACGCCCTGCAGCAGACAGCCGAGGCCCTGAGCCGCAACAGTCTGGTACAGTCCAGTGGCACTGAGGAGACTGCCAGGAGAATGGCCCTCATGAAAACCGAGTAAGAGGAAAATTTCTTTACTAAAATGGTTTATGAGAACATAGTAGCACTGTAGAATGGAAACATGTATTCACTGATTATTTCCTCATTGTGGTATTTGTGGAAGTCAATTATTATTTGGAAATAAGTTGGCATTTCAGTCAGTGAATGATATTGATTGGAAGATTGCAGATGTCTGGAAGAGAAGTGAGAATTTGGTCGTATTATGGACATCCAAAGCCAGATATCTGGGTTTGACAAAGACAGAATGCAGGTTCTCAGAGGCTGAAAAAAATATTTTTTTTATTTGGGGCGATACTTATTATACAACATCATAGGTGATCAATGTGGTACGGTGAAAATGTTCCAAACGAAAAAGAACATGTAAACTGCACCTATATCAAATATTTCTGTGTGAATGAGTGTATGAAGGGGGTTGTGTTACGAGTGAATGAGCAAAACTAGTTAATATCTTTGCCTTGGTATTGGCAGACACAGGAGCCGGTGGGCGACGATCAAGCTGTTGTTATGTAGGGGGGCTGATCCCAATGCCTCCATTGTACCCATGCCTGTCCTCTTCCTGGCCATTAAGGCTGGACACACTCAGGCTGTGCGTCGCCTTCTGGAGTGTGGAGCCAGGACAGACATACCTTTGCCAGAGAAGGTAGCATTTTAATTTCTAGTATCACATTACAGTAAGGGTTTGCTTCTCGAACAGTATACAACAGGTTTTCATCACTACCATGGTTAGCTAAAGATACAGTTCTCATTAGCTGAAGATGGCAATAAAATTATGTAATGTTTTACGTGATAAACCTGGAGTTCTCTGGATATGTACTGTATACATCTGTGAAACAGCAGAAGTGTATCCACAATGGTCTACTGTTAATATATAGTTTCAGATATGTCTTATTTACATTACTGTCCTTACATAGCCACAATTCTGCCTCCTCTATTGTCTTTGATTTCTGCCCAGTCTCTGTCACTAATTAATCAGAAACAATCAGCATGGTTTTGTGGAATTATTTTAGCACTGTTTTTGGTAGTTCTTCATATTTCCTTGTTCTTGTGTAGAGAAAGGGCCTGTATCCTCTGCACATTGCTGCTGCCCTGCCAGGAAAAGAAGGGATTAGGATCACAGAGCTGTTGCTGCATGCAGTATCTGACCCAGATGTACGAGCTCAGGATGCAGATGATGTCTATGAGCTTGATAAGGTGACCTTGATGTCATGATTAAAAATTGATTCTTCTAATGCTTTTTTGTTATTGTAATACATTTCAGTAAAAATAAATGATACTTTCCTGTTCTGCAGGGTTTGAATTCTGATTCCCCACCTGGCTTCAGTATGAAAACCTCCAGCCCAATCGGACCCCCCATCCAGTACTACTCTCCCCCTAGTGAGCTTCCTCAGGAAGGGGGCAGGACCCCTCTGCACATTGCCTGTCAGCGAGACACCAATCACACTGTGAGTTTTAAGGCTTTGCTATCTCAGTGTTAAGGTGCATTCTGCATTGGCTACATAGTTCTTTTAAGAATCCACTGCAGGTGACATTCTGCTTTCTGAAGTTTGAACACACTATTTTCCCTCAGAGAAATGTTGTTGATCCACCATCTACAAAAAATGCTCTCTACAGTTAAAGATATAATGTTTTCCACTTCATGAAGCTGTTTCTCCATTAGACAGTAAGCTGTTTCAGCTTGCCAAGTTCAATGCCAAGTTCATTTTAATGCTCAATGGATTACATGTACAGTAATTGGGACTGGTATGGCATTACTTTCATTCACTTTAACATCAAAGGACAAGGTTGTAAATTAATAGCACCAATGTTTGAATTGAAGTGCAAAAATAAGGCTTCAATGTAAACTATACAGATCTAGAGCTTTTCCAGGAATAATTTGAAAGATTATACATGAAATAATTTTTAAAGTTACTTGGGTAATTAATAAAAAAATAATGATGGGTTTCTAATATATGTTCTTTTTCAGAATGCCAAGGATGTGGTTCGCCTGTTATTATCCCACAAGGCCAACCCCAATTTGCTGTGGAGTGGCCACTCTCCACTGTCTTTGGCTATAGCTAGTGGCAATGACTATGTAAGTAAGCAGCTAAAATACTCTGTACCATCTCCAAATTAGATGCAGAGCTTAAAGCATACTGAATATTAAGACCCATGGCAGTTTTTGATACAGTATGCAGTATTGTGGATCTCCTGGCATGCAAAAACTTTCTGAATTCAGCATATTTACTTGCTGAGTTAGAACGCAAATGTAATTTGTGTGTTTGGAGAAATCTCTACCTCCTCCCACAAATAACACACATCATATCCTAAATTGCTGGAGTCTGGTGGAATTTCATAGGATAAAATATAATTTTCTTCATTATTGTTTTGTATAATCTTGTATTATAATTTAGAATCAAAACATTTTCGTACACAATGGAAAACAGATGTTGAATTGGTATCACAGTTACTATGGAAAGCTGAAGACGTTTAAAGGGTTGGGAAAGCTTGTTTTTTTTTTGTAGAATTGAAACAGAAGACAAGCTTCCTTTTAAAATGCTTCTTAGGAAATTAAATGTTTTGCCTAATTTGACCAAATTCCACCTTAGAATGCGGAACATCAGTATGAAAAAACAGTTTTTGCATGAGCAGATTCGGTAGTTGGAGATTTAGGTGCGGTTAAGAGCTGTCATTCCCCTTTCCCTCCCATGTTTCCGCAGGCCGTGGATGAGCTGCTGGCCGGGGGAGCAGACCCCAATCTCCCCCTAACGCGCCGAGTGGGCAGTGTTCTCTGTGCCACAGTCAACATCTCCTACGATTCTTGTCACAACGCACGCCAGAAAGCAGCACTGGTACAGAGCTTTCTTTCCTTGAGTGCACATCTCTCTGCAAGATCATTAGGAATGTATTTCGCAACACATAAAAATGAAAGTATTACTGGTTCTGAGAAAACACCAAAAAACAGAAAAAATATTCCTTCCACAAAAAGTTTTTGGTGTCATCGTCAACTGTTGATACAAAGATTTGTAGCTGGTGAGTGTATTTGCAAATCAGGTTAATCCTGGTCAATTAAACGGAAGCATCACACCACAATGTAGTTTGTTTTTTTGTGTTTGTTTCTTGCTGTCAGATCCTTAGACTTTCCTTGTGATTTGGTGGTTGAGCATCTGAAATTCATATTTCAGCATAAGCTAATAAGATAAGAAAAAATGCTCTGTATGTAATGATTTCCACAAATGATTCTTTTGAGTTATTAAGTAATAGTATTTGCTGTTTTTAGATAGAAAAACTAATTAACGCTGGTGCCAACATACTGATGCCTGTCATGATTGGAGAAGGAAAAAAGACAGCAATGGGCACTGCAGTAGATTATGCCTACTATACCTTCTACCAGGTATGAATACAACCTTAAGAACCATACAAACATATAAAAAATAACTTTTTGCTTGAAGAGTGAATTTAAAGTTGCCAGGTATGAAATATTTTCAGTTAAAACAACAAATAGCAAATAGCACGGACCCATGACTCTGGAGCTGTTATGGTTGGAGTTTTAATACCCCTGTCCCATGTCTCCAGGAAGATGTACACATTTGTGCTGTATCTTTGAAAAGAAATGATGATTTTAGGAAATTTATGATTTGGCCATTTTTTTTTTTGTCTTCAGGACTGGCGAATCGCCCACATTCCGTATCATGCTCTCACCTCCAAAGAAAGAGAGGTGTACAACGCTCGCAGGCAGCTGCTTTTCCTGATGGGGGACCTGCTGCGGCAGGCCGTTGTGAAGAAAGACCGGGAGAGGCTGGAGATGGAGCTGCAGCAGGGAATAAGGAGTGGGTATCCAATACTGAGGGATGCAGTCTGCATTGACGGTGTAAACTCAGAATTTACAGAAAACAAAATTCTGTAGATTCCTGTTGGTATTATAACTTGGGAATAAATGGTGTTAACTAAAACAAAAAAACATCATTTTTCCCCCTTGTGAATTGCAAAGTCAATCTTGAATGCATCCTGTAAATGCTGACCTCAAATCGACTAGCCCAATTCATTAAATAGCCGAAGAAGTTGAGGTCAGTACAGTACAGTATGTGGTTGTGGGACATGTTAAGAAGCCACTTGTTTCTGGGTTGTGTTCAGGCTGCAGCCCGAGGGAAAAGTTTGTGTACACGGGGGCAGGTGCCACCCCACCACAGCCCAAGACCACCAAAGTAGCCATCACAGAGGAAGAAGACAACAAAGACGTGACCTCCTTACTGGAGCACAGGTACTCTAGGCACTTGCTCACTGTGGAGAAGGCTGGTAACGGCGTACGATCAAGTGAGAGCCGCATCCGCCATTTTATAAACCTGGAATGGAGGCAGCTGTGGGTGCAAAATGTTCCCTAAGGCACTGCTGTTTTACTGGGTTTCTTTTATGCATGGGGTACACTAGATGAAAATAAAGCCCCAGCAAGATATTAAGCATGTAAAAGCTCTCCTCCAGTCTTAGTTATAGTCATATTTCATAAGAATGATTTTTATAGGATAAGGAAACTCAGCATGATCCCCCTAACTTTTGGGGTGCTATATGTAAAAAGTAGCATTTTATTCATTTTGAAAAGGCAGTCTTGAATATGATCTAAAATAGTGAAATGATCTGCACTACCAAGTCACTAGAAGAATATTTAGAAGAATTCAAGTAGGTAGCTGTGTCAGCACACCTGAAGAAGGCTCCACAGTTCAGAAACAGTGACATGGAGACACTTATGGAGTCTGAAGTGTTGCACAGTTCTGAAAAGAGATGAAGTTGAGGGTCGGAGAAACCAATGTAAAGGACTAACCTAACAGTGTATTTTCTGTAATTATAGTGTTCTTACACTTCTTGGACAGAAGTGTTCCTATAGCTGACATCATCCACATTATCATTATTGGTTTTAGTGGACTTTAAGAATCCCTGGGTATTCCTACAGTAGGTAAAGGCAAAGATGTAAGATGATTTATTGAGTTGTTAAGATCTCAGGCGTTTTCATTAAACTGTTAGATATCTAATTTCCTAGTCAAATGTTTAATCTAGTATATTCATTATACTGCCATTTTAATTCCAGAAGGGCAACTGAGAGTAAACATGTTCCGGAGACTGAGAAGAAGATCAGGTACTGTAACCTTATTTACCCTTGAAGAAAGTTAAATATTTTGATGTACATGATGTACTGTACATTAAGGAAATAAGTAAAGGCATTTTTATGTATCCAGTCACTGTTTTGTGATGTTGGATTCAGCCATGTATTTAAATATAAGCCAATTAAATGCTATTATGTGTGTTAAACCTTTGAGTTTAGTGCTTTTCTTATGTTACATTTCACCAATATGAGTGCAATAGACTTTCAAATATCAACATGCAATAATATAAATTTCCACTAGATGGAGACCAACACATTTCTAGCAGAATGAAACTGTCTTGGTTGGTAAGCATTATACTGTTTCTGGACAGTCCTACATTTCACACCTAACCAGTGAATAATCATTCTTAATACAACCTGCGGATTTCTTTTGCTCCACAACAGTTTTAGTATTTAGTATTTTTAGTAAAGGTTTGTGACTGCAAATTCTATGCTATTACTGGGAAAATTATTACTTTTTTTGTAGTAGGTGCACTCATTCAAATTATTGAATAGAAATTCAAAATACTGATTAACATTTTTTCAGCTAGGTTGATCAATACGGGATCCACTGTGACAGTCCAAGCCTAGCAGCTAATGTACATGCTTATGCTCAAATTTTCACTAGGTTGTAGATGTTATCTTGTGGGACATTTTCCCAGAAGATGTACACTGTAGAGCCCTCATAAAAGCTGGACAAGCATATGCCGGTTCTGATCTCTGAACTCTGCCACATGTCATCTTTGCTGAGCCTACAGATGGGGCTTAAGTCTGGCAAGTAGGGAATCTCTTGCACAAATATCACATTTTCATCTTGCAAGACCAGCATGAGGGCATGATTTGTCCAGCTGGAATGCTGTCACATTAGGAAGAGCCACAGATCTCCTGGGAAACGTAGCAATTGAGGTGCCAGAACTTGATCATTGTAGTACTGTGCTGCCAGGTTCCCATCAGGTGTAACAAGCGAAGAGACTGCTGCTACGAGCATCACACTTACACCTCATCATTGAGTGGTGTGTTGTTTACCACAATGATCTGATAGCTCCGCACATCTGCACCTTACATTCCAATCTCCGTCAGGGTGGTCTCCACAAAACCACAATCTGTTGCTAAAAAAGATTTAGGTGCTCTGCTTACAAGCCCACCTAAGGCATTGCGTCAATATACTGTTGGCATGCAGTCATTGTTCTTTTGATCAATGGGACATATTGGTTCTTTATCATGTTTTTTTTTCCAGAATCTAACCCCGTGTGACATTCAACACTTCAACAATTCATAACCTGTGGCCCTTTAAGTCTCTAATGAGGTGGTTTAGTGCTAATGCGTCAGATGCACTTTGTGAGTGTTTTGGGACAATAACAAGTGCTGAACCCAATTAATCAACATCCAAAATCCATCCACTATTTTGCCAAAATAATTCATAGAGCCATATGTTTGTTTGGATACGTTCTTTCTGTATGTACTGTAGATGCTTTTCATTGTTTGCTATTTTGTTGGCTCCAGGAGACCCCTGTTCAGGTACTGCTACCAGTGCGGGCGCACAGTGGGAGTGGTGTTGCTGCCATGCAGCCGATGTCATGAGGTTTTCTACTGCAGCAAGACCTGTAAAATGAAAGCCTGGAATGAGAGACACAAGGAGGAGTGCATCCGTGTCACAGGTGGGGTGGGGGGGGGTACTGGCTGTAAAAGCAATTCAATCTCCGCTTAACCATCTATAATGTCTTCTGTAATGTCTTGTAGCTTGTAGCCAGGTTGTTATTGTTCATATATCACCAAGACCCCCTGGGAATATGAAGTAATGTCTTCTGGAGAAAAACTGTTTCTAAGAAAACTATGACCTCTACAGGATATGTATTTAAATTTGGACTCTGGGTTCAAAGGGTTTTGTAGTCCGTTGTGAACTGTTCCTTTTATCCTCCCATCCACTCAGAAATGTTGGCCCCCCCAGCAGAAAATGAGTAATGGAGAAAAACGTACTGCAGTGCTTTGCTGACAGTATGAACAAAAAAACACAGCTTTGGACTTTGTTAATTAATTTATTTTGGAAGTAGAGAATTTGAGGAAAGGCTAAATCTACCTTGTTGAGCCAAGCAAACCAGTTATTTGCTAAGTGGCTCATAGCAGTGGGCTTTTGCATGTGGCTTCTTTCCAGGCTGTGCCAGTAACAATTTTCTCTGTACAGAAAATACCACAGGCCTGGAAATTGAAACTTAAATGGAGAGTTAAGAGACAGAACAGGGTAAAACAGGCAATGTATTTTAACAGACAAATACATTTAGATACTTAACCTAACAGGAGGTTAAAAGGGAGAAGTTTCAAGTTTGATTAAAGGAATGCCAGTAATGACCATCCTATAGTAACACTACTGTTGTTTGTAGAGCAACTAATGAAGTCTCCAGATAGCGTGGCAGTACTTGGAAAATCCCAACTGAAGGACCAGGCAGGGAAGAAAAAGAGTAAGGACAGAAGGAGCATGGGATTCGCCTATTGTAGGAGCGTTTTGAAAATGTTTAAGAAAAACAGTGTGTTTAGAATGGAACTGTAGTGCCTAGTGAAAAGCACGGAGAAGAGATTGATTTATATGGTGCTTTTGACCACTAGGATCCATGGTGATGCTGAGGGCAGGGCAGAGGCCTGGAATACTGCTGCCGACACAGTCAAAGCCTTGTTGCAGGGCTGCGCCATTCACACAGATTTTAGGGTTTCTTATGTAGATACTTGAAGGGACATGCCACCGAGGAGTATGGGGGAAGGGTGGGGTGAGTGGGGCTGGGAAAATATCATGTTCTTGTGCTGTACAGTATGTTGTTTGAATAATCAATAAAACACATTACCTCAAAATACAGCTGATAATCAACATGCACATCTCCAAACCACACATTTATGTACTGTGCCAGCTAATTTCATTTTAGGAGTAAGGCAATTACATTTCCCCTGTTGACATATTGAAATAGTGGCCTTTAGAGACTAAGGTATTGAAGATCAATGAAAAACCTTAGGTTTCCTTATGTAAGGAGACCAGATGGTTCCAAGGTTATTTGGAGCTGGGAGGCACTTCAAATTGCAAAAAGCCCATCTTAATCCATTCAAGAGAGATAAAGGATCTTGGTGTGTTATAATGGGAGGTTATGGAATATGGTTTTGCCCAATTAATGTGCTGTGAAGTAGCTTAATCCACATCTAATTAGCTTAGTAATATGTGTTTTTTGATTTTTCTATTACTCTTTCCTCTAAATAGGAAGTACGGCTCATTACTAGTCTTTAACTCTGTTATACAAGTATGATGGATACAAATGTGATTGTTACAGGAATAACTTTCTAACCTATTGGGCCTTCAGACATACTGTACGACAGATGTTGCATTATATTTTATGCTTTGTTTGCTGAAAGATAGAGTGCATAATTGCATCATATTAAGCTATTGTAATCGAAACAAGGGCTATTCAATTTTTATAAAGTTATGGAACACTGTTAATGGATCTGTGGTTCGCTAACATTTCTTTGCAACTCTTGCAAACCAGGAGGTTTTTCAGTACTGTTGGGCAGTATTCAAGGCAGCGGAGATGAAAGAATCATGTTTTATCTGTAGGTAAGACCAGGGAAGCATGCAGTTCTCCGCAGAAACTGAAGACATTTCAGGTGCCAAACCCCCATCATGCACACACGCCAGTAAGTCAGGGGAAGACTCATGAAAGCCACAGGATGGAAAAAAACCCAGGAGAGACACTGGTCACAGAGGGCATCACTGAAAACTACAGCTTCAACTGAATCACTGGGTGAACGCTGCAAGAGTTCTCCAATAACTGTCCATGAAAACTCTAAATGCTGTACTAAGAATAGTTGTGTATCTAGGCTCACTTGGAGACTTTTGTTCTACAGCACATGTGGCTTAATATTTTTTTAAAGAACCACATTTATGTGAAACCATTATCTTTAACTATTGTACTGGTTTTGTTAATTTACTATATTAAAATGGCTAGACAAGCATCTACAGTTGTGCCAAAGCATTTACACAAATCTTAATGTTTGCATGCAGAATATGAAACCAGACCATATTCTTCTGAATAACATTTACAGAAAGATTTCTACACTGTTTCAAAGAGTAATTTGATACACATTAGATTAACTATTTTTCTGCCATTTGTTATTAATAAAAAAATTGAAGTCCATCCCTCTTCTAGTACTGTTTCTGCTAATAAAATGAAAGCAGAACCCAATATAACCCAGGCGCTACCTAAATGGTGCACATTTTCACAGCACACTAATTATACTAAAAACGTACCAGTGGGTATCAAGAAACAAAGAAACACAAAAGGATTTTGCAGGTTGTTCTCTAACACTCAGCAACATCACTAGCTGTTAGTTCAATACTTTTGTTAGTCTCCCCAGCATGAGACATGCACCCATTCCAAATACTGTAGACTCCTTAAATTACATCTTCAAACTTTTAAAGCCTGCCTGTCCAGTGTGTGTGAATAATTTATTTGCTAATCATACACCTATAATTAATATTGGTCTGTAGGTGAGATTCAGACTTTGTTTGTCTTAGGCTTAGGCATTACTATCACAGGAGAACTTGATATACTGTAATTCCTTATCCCTTTTTAAAGTCTGTCAGTACACTTTATCAATCCTTCTAATTATACAGAGTTGAATAGGATGGATTAGTAACGTGCTTTTCACATATGAATATGCAATTTATTTTAAGACAATGGTCTTTACTTTCTGAAAAGAGAGTGACTTTTTACAATGTTGCTATACGATAACAGTATCTGATCCTACACATAGTCGTGTTGGAGCAAGATTGTTTTAAATCTACAATGGCTAAAGAATAAAAACACGTCTGATTGTACCCCTGTATGTAAAGTATACAACTAGAGGCTAGGATGACTAATAATCAAAGTCACTGTGACATTTCAGGTATGGTGAGCACATGACTCCTTGTTAGCTTGCACTGAAACTAAAATAAATTATTTAATATTTGTGCGTTACATAATTTTGGTGCTTAATGATTATGCACATTGAATTATGATCAAACATTCAGTGTTCCTGGCATTGATTATGCCACAGTACATGAACATCTGATCAATGTACATCTTTTATGTATTTTAGAGCTGCTTATGATATCTGATCTACTTGTCTTTGAGAAAAGTCCTGGACAAGATTGGAGCATGAAGTGGCATCCCATGTGAATACCGGGAGAAAGTACAAGCTCACTGCAGAAACCCCAAGGTGGAAATGAACTAGGTCTTTGGAGCTAGTGTACTAATCACCACTCCACCATGCCATGCAGTACTGTACTGTATGTGATCGCTTAATTAAAATGGGGTAACTGCTGCTCCCCAGCAGTTAGTCCCTTCATTTAGACTTGAAATTTCAAATGTGTTTCATAAAAAGGTTTTGATCAGCATCAGTGACTGATATCACTTATTGTACAATATGGGTTTAAGAACAAAGCTTTAGGCACTTGGAAAACTTCAAATACTGTATCTGTATGAAGTGTTCTACAGTAAAACATGATTTAGACGAGCCTCTACTTTAAGGAAAGTGCATTATAACCTAAAGACAAATCCACCTTTATACAGTGCCTGCAAAGTTTTGTGGTCACTAAAGTATAATGAACTAGTGATTATGTGACTTTCAAGGTTATCTGAATCCCATTTAGAGACTTGAGCAGACATATGCCAATTAGATGTACCTGTTTGTGCTTATAATTTTGTCATCTTTGAAAGTCAATAAAAAAAGAATAATGGTGTAATTGAAAATGTTAATAACCTTGAACATTCAAATTGCTTGAACTGATTGGCCCATTAAATTGACAACTGCACAGGCAGTGCAGATGAAAAGATGTTATTGTGGATAATTTGTTAGTTTTTTTTCAGGATGCCCCAAAGAACACAAATAACTTACCAGATGCTCTGCAATTAATTTCTAAATACTGAGAGGAAGTGATGCATTTCATAACAATATACACTACAAACCACACGTCAACTGAAAAATCTTTCAATATTTTATTTTGAGGTTGTCACGTTTAGTACAATATCAGAGAGTTGAAAAAGTACCCTTATTTTTTTCATCTGTAATAAAATTAAACCTGAAATGGTTAAACACTGTTAACAGGTGAGATCTCTTCTTCTTTTTTGTTGATAGATCAGGTAGATACTATCATACGTCATCTCATTTAAACGATGATACCAGTGCTTTTCTGTGGTCAGTTGTCCCAACATCTGGACATACTGTGTGTATATATACTGTACATAACCGCCTTTTACACTAAATAGGTGTCTTCAATATGTAAACAGGTAGGTAGCCTTTAGGATAATTTTGGCATTTACAGACATGAACAGCTGTATCCTTTTTTTTCAGCTGTGAAGAAATACACTTGCAGATTTAGGAGCTTACTCTTTTTCTGTGCTTGGGTTCTTGACAAAAAAAAAACGTTTATGTCTCGGAAGAAACACTCGTATCATTGTACTCATTACCACAGCAATTCAGTCATTGTGTCACTTGGAGAAAGGATGTTTTTGCTATACAGTGAAAGTAGTGGAGAGGAATCATCATCAACTGTACAGTATACAAACGTTCGAGTTTTTAATGCAAACATTTTGGAAGTTTGCAAAAATGAAACTTTGTTTTTCCTCGCATCCAACAAGCACTTTAGGGCTCACATTTTTTAAACCTGAAGATATTCCTTTTGCTGAATAATAACATACACTGTAGGATGTCAACTGATGATATTTGTGATATTTAATCAATGCTTGTAAAAACATGTGTTGTGATGCTTCTCATTTAACATGTTTAAGGGAGTTTACAATCTGTTAATTGGTAAAAGAAGTAGCAAGCGCCAGACCCTTACTTTCAAGCACAGAGTCGAAATGGTTTCTTTTGCCATGCACAGTTTTTCTGTCTTAGCTGTACTGCATTTCTCAAAGGTGTGCTGGACCCTTGGAACACATTCTGCATTCTTACATATTCCCTGAGCTGAGTCACCTGTCTAAGAAAGATTTATTGGCCAGGCAACTTACAGATATTAAGATATAAATAATAAAGCATCCTAATTTTAATCTTCAAGCAGCACTGGTGACGATGGTAGAGGGATTTCAAAAAGACCAGGATAACAGATGGAGAGAAAAAAGCTTTATTGAAATGGAAATATTATATAAAAAATAGAGAAATAAATCCTGTTGCCTTGTTGTATACTCAGCAGATGTTAGTATAATCTTGGTAAATGTCCTTAGGTTATCTTATTTCTTTATACAGAAATGGCAGAACTTTAATATGCTATCCAGTCAGTATTCATATGAATCTGAGGCTATCAGTGATCATCTGAAAAAAGTCACACATTACAAGAATGTCTTCACAGGAAGTGCCAGAAATAATTAAGCATTTTTGATATTTAGTCAGAATTCATTATTTTGTTTAAATTATTTTAGAGTGCTGCATCTACAATTTCACATGTGCAATCACATGTATCCTAATTTAGAATGCCCAGCTCACCATTTAAACATAATCACTGTATTCTTGGAAGAAACAAGTAAAACAATTCTGATCCAAAGACTTGTGCAACTAACCAATGATGTTCCCAGGCAATTTCACTCATGAGCACAACCATTATCACAATCACAGGGGGAAATCTAGGAGCTGAGCCTTCATGTTAACACCATGACTTTTTAAGAAACAGATACAGTAGATCATATCCTTGGATCAATTAGCTACCAGCAACCAAACAACCTAGAAACCTAGAAAGATGTTTCTTGTTTATAATCTTTTTTATATTCTTACATGTCCAAAAGCAGTACTTCTGAAATTTCAGATACAGTATGAGCATACCTGCAACTACATCAATCCTTTACACTTTTATCAGTCTTTCATATAACAAAGTTTTAATGGTTAATACCATCTCAATGTCATTTACAGGCATGACTTTAGATCAGTAAAGGAAGCATGAACTTTATTTCTCAATCAGTTGTTTCTGGTGTGATGCAGCTTAATTTCCTTCCTTTAAAGCAACAGAATCACTTCAAGGGAAGTCAATCTTCCTCAGTGATGTGAAAAGATATTGTTGGAAAACCTGCATACAGCTCTGTATGAATAAATACTAGCATTGAAAAGTGAACAATACTAGCTATTGACACAATAAACCCCCATATGTTTAGAAACCAAAATGTATACATTTCTTCAGGATATATGTTGGAATTTTTATTATTGAAAGAAGAAAAATGCCTCTTCATTTTACATAGTTTGTCATACACAACACACAGACCTGAAAGAGTGCTGTAATACTAGTGATGTTAAACTTTTTATGACCCACTGAGACACAGTGTTTCAATAGTCTGCTGTGGTCCCTACAGACATTTCCTTATACATTTTAAAAACAAACAACAGCCAAACAAGCACTTTGAGGCACAAGGAAAACCTCACTCCTATTACAGTGTTAGATAAAACATACACAGCCCCACTGGATATTATGTTTAATTTTGTCACCTTAAGGCATGGGTGTACCAAACAAACCCATTGACACTTTCAGGGCTTAAACAAACTCTTTGTGCAACTGTTTGCTATGCTATACCATGTGTTGAGAAAACAGGAGGACATATTGATGGCCACAGTGCATTAATTAAGTATATTAATGACTGGAAAGTGTATTTAATATTGCTGTCTACTGAAAGAAATCAGCTTTTACAATACCTTGGGAATGGATCACAGAGTGGAACTTTTTCAGCTTCTGAAGGAACCAACTGTTCAAACTGTAGGTTGATGGCAATGAACAGTGGGATGTTGTACATGAGGGAGTTAGCATAGACTTATGGCTTTGCTCAAAAATACATTTACATCACACAGTAAGAAATAGATTTTGGGGTTTGCCAGTTATGAAAATCCATACTCACATTTTGATGTCGAACATTTTTTTTGCCATTTTAGTTGTAGCAGACGATGGAAACTTTCAACAGGAACTACCCTACATTCCATGCATTCTTCAGACCCATTGAAGAAGGTACAAATCCAGATAGGGAGGTAATGGTGATTTTTCTTCTTTCATTAATGGTTAACTTCCGTTAGGTAGTTGCTTATGGTAATTCAATCTCAAATGCCTTTATAAACATTTATTTTCATTTCAGACAAACTTGGGTGGAAAGGACCAATGCCATGCCTATGTAAATAAACTACTTAAATAATAAAAATCACATTTTTTCCTGGTTATTTGCAGATATGAGAAAATTAAAATTCAATTACTTTAATCTAGGCTTCAACACAGCATTGCGCAATGCACATACTGTATAAGCTGGAGGCCTGACGGCTTTTCTTCAAGCTGAAGAGCATTTTTCTTTGAAACACCAAATAACCAACGGTATTGGTTAAAAGAGAATTACTTTTGGGGAAAGAATGTAACATAGCCTCTGAAGCATGAAACCTCCAGGATTGCATAGCACTTTGGGTATCACTCATGTCTGCATCTGTAATAGCCATTCCTCATGTGATCCATCTGACGTGTTTACATCAGTGTTGCCTAAAGATGTAAATGCAAGTTGTGACAAGACTGAACAGGGAGAAACTAAGGTGTAAACACTGACTTGGACTTCATTATAGGAGCAATTATCAGTACCTTTGAGTACTTTCCCAGAGGGCAGGAATAAAGCCGAGCTTTTAGTACCTCAGTGTGAATTACTTATCAGCCACAGACATCCTCTACATCCTATATCTCCACATTCTTCACGACAGAGTGATACTAACTTACAGTAATTACACTTGCCCCTTAAACAGATTGAATGTACAATCTCAAGACATTAGGCAGAACAAAACCCAAACTATGTGAGAAACGATGCAGCCTTGTGTCATAAACAGTAAGATCAGAACTGAATAGGGCTCTTATTTACTTCCTTTGCCAACACTGCCCCTTTTACAGCCACAGGAGGCAGGAAGACAACGTTCTTTCAATGCACTCCTTGATATTGAATTTATTTTTTTAATTTATTAAACTAATATGGCTTGCTTCCCATTTATTTACAAATCAAATGACCTTGGATATCATGTTTCAAGATTTACATTTGATTTTTTTTATTTTCTTACTAAATTTATTGGGATGTGAAGGGCCTTGGTGTTTTAGCGACATGGATTGTGCATTTAAGAAATATAACGCCGGGATAAAGAACAAACATTTCTCTGTTTAATTGAAGACGAAATACTCTGAATACTCAATACTCTATCTCTCTTGAATCTTTGAAATAATAAACCCTGAACAATGTGCAGCAGAATCTGTCCCACAATGGTCCTATGAACCACAGAAGAGTGGCATCCCAGATGTTAATGTGTTGGGTGAAGGGTCCTTATTGTTTGTTTTCCTTGATTTATAATCATCAAAAGGGGTAATCTGATCACATAGCTGATACAGATTTTAAATTAACCAGAAATTTAGTTTTCCTGAAAGATAAGTTCAGGATCTTAAGTTTTCTTTTTTCCTTCTTACATTTAGGATTGGCAGTGGTCCTTCTCTGGTGTAATGATAACAGATAGGAAAATGTGAAATAGGTTTGACACAATCATTTTTAAGGACTTTTCACATACATTTGACACAAGGTTTTAGGAACAACAGCACCAAACATATATTCTAATTCTCCATTAAAGCAATGTCCCATCACATCTGTAAACTGAGAATTTTAAAATGACAAAACCATAATCTAAATTCCAGAATTGAATTTGACATTCTCCAAAGGCTAAATATACTGTATATAACTCGTCTTTAGCATATAGTATTACAGATTTACCAACTTGTGGCAGGTATCTACTGTACATATTTCTCACACAGATATGCTGCTTGTTAGTATATGCTGTTTCTTAGTGTAAGCATGATATAATGTGTGCTTACTGAAACTGAGTTTATGTCTGGAGATCTGTGTGCAGAAGTTAAGATTAATAAAATGATGAGAGTCTGTGTGCAAATAAAATCAATTCTAAGCATGGTACTAATTAACATTTAGGACTGAGAATGAGCACTTAACATAAAACATTAAGTAAATATTTAATATTAAATAATAATATTAAATATTAAGGATGAATCAGACTCCTTTTGCTCAAGTTTCTTTGTGCAATCGCAGACAACAGCAATAAAAACAAAACAGTTAAACTATTGCTGCACACCAAGGCAACATACTGTAAACTATATAAAGGCTTCAGTTAGAATTTCTGTTTTGCGTGTTCACATGAGGGATAGTTAGGGCATCTTAGTACAATGGGCAGCTTTCTGTGGGAATGTATTGGTACTCCATATCACACACTTCATTTTCTAGATAGTATTAAAACACTTTTTTTTTCCAATTTTAAAGGTGGCAGAAGTCTGATGTGGTGACAGTTGTCTTAGTGCCACAAGTACTCAGAAGCCAGACAACATTTAAAATATTTAAAAACCCCTTTCACATTTCATCTAGACTTCCCACAAAAAACAACAAACAATTCTTTTTTGATCTGGAAAGACTCCTCTATAAAAATAACAAAACCGAAACGATCTGTATACATTATTTATTCCATCTTCTTCATCGTACCTGAAGGTGCCGTTTTGAAGTTTAACGGATAAGACTAACAATAAAGAAACCAGGCTTCACACATCCACTGACTTCTCTGAACTGACATCATAGACTGTACAGAGACAAAGACTGCGTGATGTCTAAAGTATTTGTTATAGTACCAGCCTAACATTTCTAAAGAAATGAAATATTAAGAGAAGCAGATGGACAGCTTGTATTTTGTAAGTGTGCTTGCAAATGCAGAATTTTTTAAACAGGTTGACAAATCTTTTGTTTACAAAAACTAAAAACTGGGAAGGTATTTATGGCCTCCCTGCACTGAAAATTACTTTTGATTCCTGTTATTGGCTAATACTTGAATCTGACATAATGGATTTAGATCTCCAAATGTTTAGGTCTTCAAATGCAACCCCTAGGAAGTGGATAACAAACATTTTTCCTTCTGCATCTCATAATCCATTAAAAAGTAAGATCCTGGGAGAATATCTTTCTATCTCTTTTTTATCCACAGCTAATTAGTAGGGCTGAGCAAAAACTTTGAATTTTCAACATTTCATACACCACTCTGCATGTCCTAATAAAAAGAGGGAAATCAGAAAAAAAGAGCATTGATCTTTTTTAACTTTGCAGTTTTCTTGTAAAAGAATTGAAAACATTTCTAATGTGCTGGATAGGCAATATTTGTCATGGTTCATTTACAATAAACATAGCCATAAAACACAAGGTTAGCAATGTATCAAAAGATAAGTATGCAAGTAATTTGGAATCAAATGGTTATAATATGAAACTTGGTATTTTGGCCAGTTCACTTCACTACTCAAAAACATTTTTCCCCCAATGGGTTTCCTTTCCTGTAATAAATAAATATACCCAATACCTGTTTGAAACAGTGGAAAAACAAAAGTTTATCTCAGCACTACTTCAAAGCCTTCTCAGAGATCAGATGCTTCCAGGGACAAAATTCAAATATATATATATATCTATAGAGTATTTTTAAAACATTTCTGAGGTACAGAATTTTCAGAGAACCCAAACACCGGAAATAAAAAGATGCCAAAGACCAGCTCTAATCGTGCCATATATTTAAAAAAAAACTAAGAATTTTTTATTCCTTTTTTTCCTCCAAGATAAAAGATAGTCCATTCATTTATGCTTCTTTTTTTTGGCAAAGTTAACGGCTTCAACCTTTGCCCCTCCCCCTCTCCCATCCCCAACCCTTGTCCCCCGAACTCAGTCCCAATTGGTGACACAGCCTGTCAATTACCGCCTGAAAAGCACCACAGCCAATGAGAGCAGGAGGAGGGTGGAGTGGGGAAGGGCTTGGCTGGCTGTGCCCTTGACGACCTTCTTGTTCTCGGCAGGAATGGCGTACTGTATCGGTTGGTCTGTGTTGGGGATGGTGTTGCGATCTGTGCTACGGGGGCACAATTCCTCTACGCAGGCGCCACTTCCCGAGCCACTGACATCATCACCTGTAAAAAGGAAGCCAAGAGACAAATTCATTTCAGTATATTTACACATAATGATATCCCCTTGAATAGCTACATACCGGAAGGCTTGTGCCTTTTTCTCTACCTGTGTTGATATAAAAATCTGCAACTTAAAATAATCTGTTCTACAACTGATTTGTTAAGAAATGAACCGAACAGCAGAATCTCAGCAATTCCCGAAATTCAGTCTGTACTGAGCAACTGTTTTATCATCTGCTATTTCCTGTTATTTCATTTATCTGTTGTGCGACAAGCGCTACGTGTTCTGAATGAGAATGCATGAATTCACTGCATTTTGTTTTAGTCACGGGCTGCTTATACTGTACAATACATCAGTGACAAAAAAAAGAAATGTCGTCATCTACGAGATCAGAGCTGTCCTGTAGACAGCTGTGCCTGCTTCACTCACTAGTGTCCTGGAAATCCACGTCATTGCCGTTGAAGGCATTGCGCAACCGATTGGTCATGATTTTCAGCTGCATGATCTGCTGGCGGATGGTCATGTCTGGCTTGGTGATGTCAATCTCCACCTCGGGGTTGTTGATCTGGCTGGCCAGGCCATCACCCATCACTTCAGGGAGATAACTGAAATGACACATCCAGGGACTTTTCCATCTGAGGTCCATTCATGCAACTGTACTACATTCAACCATACAAAGCAACAACTGCGAACATTCAACGATTTAACATTACGTGAACAGTTACCCTTAATTCTCGTATAGTGCTCATTTCAGCATTGCTAGTACGTTTTTCTATGCCTTTCAGTCCTAGTACACATTTCATATTTGCAACTTTAATTAAACTCTACCAAAGGTTAGCGTTTTCTTTTTACATGACTGCTGTCGTCACTGAAATCCCATTTCACAGGAAACACTGTCACTATAGGAAATACTTCATGATTCAACAGCTGACCCAATGTTTTAGAAGCAAAGGAAGGTGATTAGAACTGAAATCATCCAGAAATCAACATGCATTACATTCAAAAGCATTGCCTTCCCCAGTAATTGTTGAGTTGTAAAAGCAGCGCCTGCTAGTATCCCATAGACACTGATTAAGGAGTACATTAATATGTGCAATGGTCCTACCTTGCCCTGGACATGCCATTCCAGCATTTATCCTCACTGGCTGGTGCTGCAGAAACCTTGTCAGTACAAAGAGCATTGGGCAGCTGTACCCAGTACTGCTGCATCTCCCTTAGCTTACCAGTCACATCAGACACCTGCCAGAAACAGCACATAGAGTCAGGGCACTACAGCATGATAAGAATGGATGGGCAAAATACATCACCGTCTGCATTCTGTACAGAGGCAGACATATAATTTGCTGAAGTTTGCTTTTATAGAACTGAAACCAAAGGTGAAAAATCTAGGCGCAAAAGCAGTCTGTTCCATACACTGTGTCATTTGTGCAGAACTGAAGGATACAGAAAACTGTAAGTAGAGATACAGATTTTTCTGTCAGATAAATGCCATTTGTTAAACAACAATCCTGACGCAGCTCACCCAAACTCAGGAAAAATTATTCCTAAAACTCCCTGCTTTATTGCTACAGTACGAAATAGGGGACTACAAAATATATTTTCATACAGTGGTACAGTATATTATACTTGCTTTCTCTGTTAAATTAAATTTTACTCATGGGAAAATATGAAAAGGTTTGTTAATAAAATCAGTAAATAATAATGATGGCAGTGTCTGATGCCATGTCTGAAATTAAAATAAATTCCAACAGATTTCTTGAGTAAATTACTTTAAAGTACTTCAGGCATTCGTAAGCAACAGACATGGCACAGATGCATCTAAATACCACCCAATTCTTTTAACGCAGGCAGATTTCATTTTTGTAGCATTGATTTCAAATCGTACCAAAATAAGACCTGGAAAACAACACTTTGTTAGCTTACAAATATTTCCTCTTAGGCAATGTACATGTAGATCACAGTTAACATAATCATATTTACAAAGTGTACTTACTGTACTCATTTCATTGCTGAAGTGAGTGCACTCTAGGTTTAAACAAATAATTGAATCTTAATGCACTAGACCTCCATTACAAACCAATAGTGTGGTTTGTGTGTGATAACAACTGTGTTTTTGCTTTAGTATTTTGAACCACACAGTACATTACATGCCAGTAATCAGTACAGAGTTTTGTCACAAGAGAAATGCTCTTCATTGCAGAGCTAGAGGAGAAACCTTTCTACTTGTGCTGCACTAAGTGAAATAGCAACTATTTGCAGTATCATGATGGCAGAGCAAAACGCTTGTGTGCTCTTTCAACCAAAAGGCTGATGAGAATGACCTCAGCGCTATCCAAATGACTTACTTGAATGGAAGAAGCTGTTAAAAGCTGATATTGGTTCTTGCATGGCAATTCACAGAGAACCTGCTGCAGTTCCTTTAGTGCCATTAATAATGTGCACTGTGTGCACATTAACTGAATCAAACTGAATCAATAACCTCACTAGATACCCATTCCGGTATTAACAATTGCAGTTTTTGCTGCACTTTGTAACCAAACTATGTGTACAGAATATCAACCATATTAAGATCTAAGGGTAAACTTCAATTCACATTCAAGGTGTGTGTATGAGGCCTAAATTGTTATACTAACTTTGAATACTTATAACCATTATAAGTGAACCACTTACTGTATAATGGGTGTCTATACTGAACTAATTACACAGACGGTATATGAATTATACTAAATAGTATCACACCCTTAATAAGTGAAGAGATGATAAGCTACTGTATCAGAGATGCATCCTTTGAAACAAGCACAATTCTCACATAGTGTACGCAAACAGAGTTTACTGAGATATCCTACTGCAAAGTCCCCAGTCATGCTTCTTATTTATTTGGGAAACAGCTGTAACTACAGTATATGGCAGTCCCCTGCGGTCCCTCCCCATGCCACACTGACAAGAAGACCAGGCCGTCTCAGCTTTTCAATTCAACAGCTCAGCAGTGTCTACTAATTGGAGTTATTCATTGAACAGAGGATATGGAAGGGCTGTTACGTGCATGAATAGGTTCTTTTAGTCTTAAGAAGACAGTAGAGAAGCTGGCATTGGGAACAGTAAACTGGAGGTTTTGAACATGGTGCATGTTGGAAGAAACGCAGATTGCTGCATCTAGGAAGAGTCACTTGTGAAACAGAGCAAGACTTACAAGTTTCTCCAAGCCCAGCCCAGCCTTTTCATCCACAGGACTTTTCCCACGTTTCTTCTTGTCCTCAGACCCAGAGACCTGGGTGCCTCCTACTCTGGGGGTCCCACAGGCCTGGAACACCTAGAAGACAAGGAAACCGTTTTGTATTGTCTTTGCATACAGCTGCAATCGGTATTGTTTATGTTCACACTGTATGTATAAAACAGTTTAGAGAGTACAGTAGTTTTTAACCTTTGTCTTTTCCTGCAAGCTCATTTTCTCGATCTTGTAAAACGCCTTGGTCATAAGAGTCTCTGTTGTCATTACTCTTTGCTTCTCTGACAGATATTTTTGTCATAACAAACATGATTAGCAAGAACCATGGAAGTAAATTAATGTTGCACCATGTTTCTTAAAGCATATACCAAACTTTTGTTGCAGTAATAAATCATACTGTGCTACCTTTCATTACATTTAAAGTAGCACTTTGAGCAACCACTTTTCATGATTATAAAATATCTTAAAATTGACTACAGGGCCACACTAGCTCAAATACAATATGGAGCACGGCAAAAGAATTGCTAGGAAATTTCAGATAGCAAAAACATGTGGGAAACCACATGTACCCCTGTACTATGTTCATGAAAGAAAAAGAAAAACTGGAATTCAGAGTAATTTCCCTTTGCTCGGTTATGACGATTGTTTTCAGGTGTTCAAGAAAAAAGGCATAGTGCTTGTGATTTTACTTTTCTGGCTTTGGGACAATGCAATGTGTGGAAGCATCTACAATTCTCCACATGCTCTCTAAGTTTGTCATTTACTTTACAATATGTCATTACGTTGTTATAAAGAGTGACTTGTAAAATTGTGTACCTGCATTTCATGAACATCGATAACCTGTAAATTTGTCAAACATATTTTAATTTTCATTGATAACCAATGCAAGTCTATATTCTATGATGCAAGAGGAAGTTCTGGTTATTCCTGTATTGCAGTAGTGTCCATAAATTTGAATACTGTGAGATGAATAAGGTTCATAGAGACAGCTGTGCGCCACAGATGAAAGGAGAGGCAAAGAAGATGACAGCAAAATGAAGATAGTGACTGTCACTTCTGTCCTATAAAGTGAATATTAAATGAGAAGCTTAAGTAGAGTTACATTAGGTGAGGATCATTAAGTAGTGTTATGTCTTAATAAGCAGGGCTGTATACAGCTCTATCACTAAGAAATGTCTTCTTGAAATTAGAGCCTTAAATTTCATCAACATGCAATAAAGAATTGACCTGACAAAAACATTTAAACGTTTAAATTTCAATATATACTGTATATATTGTCAAAAATTAATTTTCTAATTCTTTGCCTTGGTTCTTTAATGTTTTATCAAATTATCGACCACAGTTTACAGTTGTTAAGAGTGGTTTGGGAATTGCAACACTTCAGACCGCAAGACCCTGCAACCAATTGTGGAAACAGCTGAAAAGATAATTGGAGCCTCCCTCCCTTCCATTTCTGTCACCTACCACAAACACTGCTTACACAGGGCCTCCAGGATAGTAGATGACCCTTCCCATAAACTCTTTGCCCTCCTACCATCTGGGAAAAGATATCGCAGTGTACAGGCCAGCTCCACCAGACTCTAACAGCTTCTTCTCACAGGCTGTCAGGCTCCTCAACACCCTGGAATCTACCTGCACCCACTCCAATTCCAGAAACAGTGTTTAAATCCCCCCAGTGTGGTGTGTATATTGTATTATGTATTTGCCTTGTAATTTGCACTACATGCACTTTGCACTATGTGTATCCAGTCTACAATGTCTATATCGGTGTCCTGTCTGTCCTGTCTTGCACCGTGGACCAGGAGGAACAATATTACATTCCACTGGATACTTCTTTATGGCTGGAATGACAAATAAATGTGAACTTGAACTTGAGTTTAGTCAGTAAGACTAGCATTCTTCCACCTCCTGTGTCTGCCAACCTGTCTTTGTACAATACTAAAAATAATGAGAAAATACTATGATTCAGTCCTTAATTGATTTCCTTGAACAGCATTTGCACTGTCATAATTATAGTATTTGCTCATTAATCTGGGCATTTCCCCTCCTTTTTTGGTCTTTTTCCTTCATCTCGCACATTTGCAAAACAACAAAGCCCTTCAATAACGTGCTTGATGTTTTTCACTGAACCACAGAGATGATTAGTTACAACACTACCCAAAATGAAACCCTTGGAAAAAATCCATTCTACAACCAAACAGTTGTCCCAGTGCCTGCCGATGAGTGCAAGTCACTAAAAACCATCATGTCTGTATCCAAGCACATGTTTGCTGGCTGGAGGTAAGAACAAACCTGGCAGCTGTACAACTTTTCCTTCTGTATAACTACCTCCCACATTTAGTAACAATAGACCTTTGTCAGTTACACCTACCTCACACGTCCACCTATTATAATATAAAAGATTTACCTCCTGGCAAAATCGTCCCTAATGAATTTGGCCAGGTTTTCATTGTTACACACTTAATAAAGAGGGCATTGTTGTCGGTCTTTTGTGTAATGTATGCTGTTGGCAAACATGCTATAAGCTCTGCTGTCACTACAGTATGTAGAAGGGACACTGTCATTTCATTTGTTTTTCTATGTCTTTAAAAAACGCACAACTCAGTGTCTAGGTACTGTATGTTCAAGGGATAATAGCCTCAAGAGAGTGATCTATGCTATATTTTCCAGGTTGCCTTGTCTTTCTTTAAATTGTATTTCACAGCTTTAAAGGCTTTAGAAAAACAAGTACAGTACATACATTAAAAAAAATTAAAAGAAGGTTGGAACATAACTTACTGTAAGTTTTTGTGATACTCCTTTGATTGAATTTGAACTTGAATTTCATAATTGGCACATCAAATTTCATTTGTAAGAATGTTAGATTTGTTAGAAATATGTAAGAAGGTTAATTCTTGGAGTCTCCTGCATTATTTAATGTTATCCTAAAACCTTAAAGCACAGAGAATGATTGAAATGATTGAAATTGAAACAAACATTTAGAGTGAATCATTTCATAGCCCACACCTAACACTTCCTCAGACTTGGTGAATACTGGCATGTGCCAGTGTTTTTCAGTCACAGCTCCTTTGAACTGAGAGTGGGTTCTGCACCCTCACAGGGAAGTGGTGTGATTTGCAGACACTTTGCATTGGAACCTTGTCTTATGAGTCACTGCAGTGATGAGAGCAGAACTGCTAGATCTAGGAATGGGCATTGCTGCATACCGACCTTGCTGGTGAAGTGTGCACTGTTATCCAGCATGTTGACCATGGCCTCTGAGATCCTGGTGTGGATGGAACCGATGACAACCTCCACGCTGGACGGTCCATTGAAACGGTCAGCCACCTGGAGCATGGACTCTGGAGAGGGCGGAGAGAGGGGTTACAGCCTTGGTGTGGGGAGAGGGGGGTGACACTTACAACATAATAAGTTAATATCTGGGCATTGAGGGCACTTTTCTTGGTGTCCATTTTCTGAAAGGAAAATCAGAAAACAACAAGAAAGGAAGAGTGGGAGTAGAAATTCTTACTGTTTTTATTGCTATTGTAGCTTAATTGTTCTCTATACAATATAAACAATAAAGACAACCTAGGAAGCAGGAGAAAACAAATGTACAGACACTTTAATAAGCAAAATATTCAGAAGGGTCATATCTACTTTTACAGTATGTCTGTGCAGATAACTGAGCTCCACTCACCAATGAGGTTCCTCCACTCAGTGTCCAGGTCTGCTTGGTTGGCAAGGCAGCCCTTCATGACATTCCTGCAGTAGTTGATGCACGGCTTCACGGAAGGCATTCCTCTGCAGTGCGGACAGTACATCAGCTTCATGAGGGCACGGGTGCACTCAGGGCTGAGTGGGACCTGCAGAATACAACACGACTTCAATTCACAGCAAATTGTTATGATTGCGATTATAGTTTTGTGTCTTGTTTTATTATTGTGTGTTTTTTGTACCAGTGGCCTTTGCCCATCACCTTATTGTGGAAACAAGAGGCATGTCACATTCCCAGTAAGCTCTGTGTGTGCAGGTCGCCCCTACCCAGAGGAATTTATGTTACAGTCAGCTCCTGGCTCGATTTTGTCCTTTGTGGCCCATATGACTTATGGAATGTATTCTGTTGATCTTGTTAACTGGTATCTGCAGGGTACTAATGGTTTATAATGTCACCAAGCTTTGCTCATTGCTAAAGATGTCTAAGAAATTAAATTGCCATCCTCCACCTCCATCCCTAACACCATCAGCCTCTTTAATTTAATGTTCAAGAGCATCTCTTAAAACTCATTTTTCCTTTCATCCATTATGAAAAAGCTGCTTGTTCCTCGTAAGAGTAAAATCTATTTTATTGCCGACATACAGTATAGTAGAAAATGTCTTTTGCCTCACTGAGACAACAATAAAAATTGTGTAATGCAGAGTACATAAAACACCAGTGGATTTTACAAGATGTGTACAATCAATGCAATATAAATAACAATGGAATACAGTACACAAAACATAAGATTCAGTGTGACATACATATAATGTATATATACTGTCAATTAAGTACTCTGAAGTGGTTCATTCATCAGATTTTGAAAGATTAATGGCACTCGGAACGAATGATTTATTAAAAATGTGATATTTTGTAGTCTTTGGTACTCTAAAATGTTGAGCAGATGGTACTTTATGAAATAGGGATTGTAGGGGGTGTGAGGCATAATTTACTATTAGAATTTTTTTTCCTGTAAAGACTCAGAGTATACATGCGGTTCAGCTGGTTCTTTTTCTGACCAATAACTTTGCTGCCTACAGTATAGGTTATAATGCTTGAGAACTTGGCTCTACCCCTGACACCAAGATTCCCAAACCTAGTGGAGATGTTTCAAGAGAGCAAACTCTCTACCAGGCATGTGTAGGCCAACTCTAGGATGTGTAAGGTTAAGGAATAAGTCCATTCTTAAAAAATCTTATTATAGTTTTAATTATAATTATGACAATTCTCAGAAACACTCTACCAGGAGTTTAAAATATTTTGGATTAAATGTTTTGTGCTTAAGTAAGTTTACACCAGGTAAGTTATTTTTTGCATTTCATTTCCCAACACAGTGGTCGAAGGACAGTATTCTCACAGAGTATCCCATTCTGCTGGCTTAAATAATTCAAATTACAACATCAATATTCTTCATTGTCTACATTTTAAATTGTAGGCCTTACAAATGGGAATGACACTCTCAATCATCACAAAGAGTATGACTGAAATCAGACATTCAGGACCTTGGACAGAGTCCTGAGAACAACCTGTACATTGCAGAGCTGTATCTTATCAAACTGTTTAAAATGACATTGTAAAGCAAATTCCCATCACACATACAGACACGTTTTTCTGTTTAGCACATACAGACTCACCGTTATTATTACTTAATATTATATAATAATATAATAAGATAATAGAAAGCATTATCTACTTTCACACCTTTATTGACAGTATCTTGTTCTTCTCTTCTCTTTTTCAGCCATCACATGTACCTTTCTGCGAATCAGTTAATTTTACAATGCGGTCGATCCCAAGTGTTTCTCAATATTCAAGAACACAGAAAATGGATTGTGATATAACAGCACTTTGGAGCTTCTCCAGCATTACAGACAAGTGTTACATGTGGGCACAAAGCTAATGATAACAAATTGCTGGATATCTTGCTGAGCATTGACACCCATAAGTGCTACTGCTTTCAAGTGTCTTGCACACAGATTTCAACTTTGTACTCCTGCCTGTGGAGCAATTATAAAGCTTCTCCGTTATTTACCACATTGTCGAACAGGCAATGTAAAGAGGCAATTCCATGCCATTGGATGTTTTCTAGGATCCAAGTGGAATGCCTCCCCTTTTCTATTTCTTGTTCCCAGCAAATTCAACACTGCATCTCATGATACACAGCAGCAGTTTTGAAATATTTCCATTGGGAAAGATCTGCATACAAAAGTTTGGATTTCCAGAGATGCATCTCAATACTATTCTCAAATCCCTTAACAGCAACATCTCAGTGTGAAACCCTGTAAAGATTCAGAGGAAAATGTGCTGAAGGCATATAAAACAGGAGCTATTTTTTCTCCCTGATGTTCATGAGATTGTTTTTACTGTAGTATACAGTATATACACTGGTGATAAGTTGTAGTTTTTCTAGCATTTACTGAGGAAATAATTAATGCATTCAAACATAATTCACAAATGACTAATGCCTAGGGTCCACTATATACAAGAATTCTTATTATGTTGAATTCAGTGCAAGAAAAGAACTATTACCCTGTGCTTTAACCATAGAAATGGGTTAATGCAATCAAATACTGACATCATGTCAGATATAATCAAATAATTTGTATGTATATTCTTAATCTCCAAAATCAAATTGATATTTTAACATTAACATCTACTGCTAATTGCTGCAATGTCACTGGTATGTTATTGGTGTATGCTGGTAAGTTGAGAATAGAATACAGAATACAGTATGTAATAACTGCAATCAGTCACTATGGTGTTCCAATAAAGCTGTAAAACAAGAGTTAAATATTATGAAGCTATAAACATTATCCCAGGATTTCTCCCAAACCGGCATGGTGTGCCTTTCATTTCTCTCAGCTCTATTATTCCTCCGACCAGAGATTTTTGTTTTAATAGAGAGATTCTAAATGGACAAATTAAGCCACATCAAAGTGGCAAGGCATCTGTGACTCATTAAACTCCAGCGCACAGCCCAGAGCCTGGAGGCAAGCTTTTTACAAAGGGGAATAAAACACTTATCACCATTTTTCCCTGTAAAACCCATAAATCCACTGCCACAGCTCCTTTGCACAGAACTGTCGGCAGGCAGAGCTCCCTGTGCATCCAGCCAAGAGATCAGTCCACTGAGACGGGCAAACATCATCCTACCAGACAAACAGACATGGCTGGGCTCGCAGCCACCTGACCTACAGACAGGAGCCGCAACGTCTAGGACAGTCAGATATGGTGTGAAACGTGAAAAGCTTAGAAAATTAATGAGCTTGAGGACAAGGCAAGTATTCAGAAACTCGCATGAATTTTATTCACTATAAATTAAGCTCTTAAAAAGCAACATACTTAGTGTTCTGCATTAAAGCAACATTTCTCCCACAAATCCAGCTAAACTTGAAATATTCTGACTGTAGCAGATTAAGTCTGACATTCTTGTTATATGGCACAACACACAATGCATTCCCATCTGCTATATAGCTATTATAGGAAACCCTATAATGTTATTTCAATAATTAATTTAGCATTACTGCTTACATGGCTTTTACCACCAATTGTATTCTTTTAAATATCATCTGTGCATTTTATAATATAGCATGTTGTAATGGTTCAAGAAATGAATGCTATATTCAAGTTCTTCATATTGTTCTTTAATAGAATATTACTTTCCCTGTACAAAAGTAATCGGGAAAAATAGTCCTGTCCTCCTGGTACCTCCACAACTGCTAGCTACAGTACAGAATGATTGTAGCCATGAGTTTTTTTTTGTGTGTGTGTATAATCAAGTGCAGTGTTTATACTGATCACAAGTATGGGCCTATAATATTCTTAGCTTAAACAAATAAAACAGTGGGTAACGGTGAAAATCTGACAGAGGTCAGAAAAGAGATTAACCTGGCCTCCAAATAAAGGGGTGTGAAATGCATTGCATTAGACATATCAACACTGCTCGTGAAGGGGTGCTTTAAACTCTCAGATATACAGGAAGGATAGAAGTTACCCTTTCCACTGAGGAAATATTCCTGCAGAGAAAGACAATCACATGACTCTGGCGCACCTGCTGCACATGTGAGATTGCGGTCTTATGTTTATTAAACATTAATAAATAAATAGCAGATCAAGGTGCAAAGTCTGAGATTGTTCTATAAATTGCAGTGGGTATAATGACCCAATGTGCAACCAGGTGGAACATCATCAAGTAATATCTGCTGCTGGCTCAGATTAACACAAATTGCCTGCTTGCTTGCAGCTCCATGCTGCCTGTTTTTCTGTTAATTAAAGGACTGTGGAGAATGTGCCTCGGCACTGAAATGACACCAATGTCTATTTTTCCTTCCGAGTTTCTTTTACAGGGCAAAAAGACAGAGAAAGAAGGTTTTGTCTTTCAGTCGGTCCCTTTTGGTGTGAACATAGGTTTTCATTCTTTGCTGCCTTTTTGTTTTGGAATTGTGTTTTTTGTGGGTGGGGGGAGGGGATAGAAGAAGGTCACCCCAAAGGCTTGGGAAGAAACAAACACCCACTTTCTTTCACGCTTTCTGCAATTAGTGAAAAATATTGCCTTTTTTTTGCCCTGCTTTGTTCACTTTCTTCAGACTTCCAGCCTCTAAAGCTGAAATATTTTGTGTGTGCCCTACTTTTTTTCATTCAATGCTTGGGAATGTAGCGTTCTTGAACGGTAGCAAACAATGGCAATGAGTACAGTCAGGCATGGAGCCAGCAGCCACAGTGAGAGCTTTCTCTCCCAGCTTTATAGGAACACCATGTAATTCTCAGCTGAACAACACATCAGAGATCACCATCAAACCCATTTTCTTTGTTTTACAAAAAATAATTAGCCTGGTTTGTGAAAGTAGTAGGGCATTGTTTTTACAGGATTACACTGTATTATGTCTGGATGAATGGTCTGAAGAATGACTGAATAATTCAGAGATTTATAAGTGCCAAAAAAGGAGTTCATACTTTACTATGGTTCTGATTTAATTTAAAATGCTTTCCATTTGAATTCATATAAAAGAAATAAAAAAAGTTTATTCCAAATGTATATTCCTTCACAAACCATTAATCAGAGAGCTTAAGCCACAAACCATATTTAAAAACCAATAAACAATCTTTAAAACAGGGAAGAGCAAAGCTTACTAATGGCTGGCAAAGAGCGTTTCGTCTTATTTCTGGTTCAAAACACCACTCCCCGTAACAACTGATTACAACTGTATGTGGTGAGGACACTTAGTCATTTCGCAATTAGCAGGATATAATTAAGAATTAGAGTGACATAAAAATACAATCAATTACAGATAAAGGGATAGAGTGTGGAGAATTCAGACCATCCACACGGCCCGGGGTAGCATACCAGCCCTGGCTCATAAATCTTTACAACAACAGAAATAAAAGAAGGAGGCAAAGCAATAAGCTTCCTATTATGCTTCACAACATGCGCGATGAAGGAAGCTTATTAAGACCGAGGGGGAGACCCAGACTGAGTTAAATGCCAGACGGTGCACATGGGAGCTGTACATCAGGCTGTTAAACCAAATTGCAATTTACATCCTCAATGTTATTCTCCCCCTGCCGAGTCAATCAGACAGCAAGCAGGCTGTTAAGGCTGAAGAAAGAGAGCAGAGCCTCCTGGACCGTGCTCATTACTCCACCCAGCTCCTGCAGGTACACTATGTGGACAATTTTATTTTCTTAAATAACACCAACTGCGCCTCGTCATCTGTCAGTCCACACACCAGGAGTTCATCTGAGGGAAGCACTGGGAGGGCTGTGCTTTCAAGATTTTCATGTTCAATTGCACATTCTTGGCCAATGAGTTTGGCTATACGTTTTCGTGGCACTGGGGCTATAAAATGTGGCTTTTGTTTAGACGTGTGGATCTGTGCCTTCCCTTTAGAGTACCCTTTCCTCCTAAATCGCTTATTTTCTCCCACCGGAGGAAATCATATTGATTTTAGCTTAAATGATCACAATTCCAAACGTTTATACAAAAAAAAACAACAGACTTTCTATCTTGATTATATAGAGCATTACTTCTGAGGATAAAAAAGCTAATCGAATCACTTGAATGTTTTTTTTGCTACAATTAAATGCAAGGACTGTTGGGCCACTGGTGGAAATCAAATTTACTGTACTCCTAGGAGCACCTTGAAGATCCATCTCCACACAGCTCCTAGTACACTATAGTATTTTAATATTAACCAGAAAGGCAGCTAGAGCCAGCAAAATACAGAACATAAATTGACTACGAAGGCAAATAAAGTACACGAAGGGAACCCTGCAGCTAATGGAGAAGATGCTAACCGCTATACAGAGCACATACTTCAGAAAACACTTCTAGCCAGCAGCATAGAACGTGACTGCAGAACTGAAGAACTCAGCATCCATAGATGCCAAGAAAATACGGTATCAGTGACTGACCTTGAGGCACCTGCATTTTAGCTAAAAAATGACCCCCTTTTCCTGCTTTGCCTAATAAAGGCAACATTATATGTATATGTTGTTGCCCATATACAGTAAGTCACAATACTGTCAAGTACAGTAAAACAAATGGTGCTTTCCATACTTACTTTCTGAAGTCTTATATTGAGAGCTTAACCATTGATAACAGCTACAGTGCTTGTAATGCATGCTTAGGAGTCTACATTAATGTTGGTGCGTCTGCTCTCCCATTTCGTACAGTACATAAAATATTTTGCACAGAAAAGTACTATTAAGTGTTTTTTATTACTGTATGTTGTCCAGATCGTGCAGTTAGGGGGAGCCAGGAAATGAACAACAGGATGCAAACAATAAAAAAGACAGCCTGGTATAAAGTTTTTTTAATGGAACGCCCTGTCATCTGCCATTAGAATGTGACCCTTTTTATTTTTATAAATCTAAACATTTTCATTAGATTTATTAAGTTTACAATTTCACATTTTAGGCTCCATTTGTATTAGAATGGAACACCTACAAACAAGATGTTTGTATACCACACATTGATAACCTTAGTGTCCTCTGGTGTGTTTGTGTCTGTCCATGGAAATGTATTCTTTTGGATAAGTAACAAAATCCAATTCAATTTAAAAAGTAGGCTGATCAAAGAGGCCAGCAAACATTATCATCAAACCTGTATATTGTTTTAATCTAACAAGATACAAGACATTATTACAACTCTCATTATGGACAGCATTTCCTGCTGTTAATGTTTCTGTTCTTTTTACCAATGTGACAAATAATGGACAAATGTTTGTTTTTACCGATTTAAGGTATCCTTTAACTTCACTGAGCCCGATAAAAATACACATTAGAAACACTCACACTAAAAGCATCTGCTGCTCACACTGGGAATAATCCTAGTGTCACCGATAGCACTTCTGTAATGTGCATAAATGCAATGAACACCATCTCCTAAAATGCCAAGTAAGTCTACCTTTAGAATTCGCTTTCCTTTCTCCCCATCAGCATTTCAATTAAGATCTATAGTATGTTTTTTATAATTGATTCATTCCAAGGTCTGAGCTGCCTCTGGGCAAATTTCCTTGAGTTCACAGCAGGAAGGGCCAGAACGTTCTTCACAGCACAATGACATTAACTGCAGTTGCATCTGTTGATTGCTTTGCCCTATAGCTGTGGTTTATGTTTGCAACTGTTCATTTTAGAGTGCATCGATTCCATCTTTTACTGCTTACTGCTTAATAGTGCTTGTATGCCTGTGTTCTTTCTTATTTTTGTTCTTGCATTGCTAAAATGATTTTTTTTATTCATTAAAAAATACAGATAAAAACAGCTGAAGTATATATATCTCTAAAAATAATGATATAATGTTAATTATATCTCTGTTGAGCCCCATTTACGGTTAATGTGTCTCAGGTAACATTAGTAACATCCATAATTAGCTAAATTAGTTTAAGGTACCAAGGTATGCGATGCCAGGCTTATAAAAAACACAGCTCAAACATAATGTTTTATGGGGGGTGGTATTATATCCAATGTGCTATCCATTTATGAGAAATACCAAATAAAGCTCAGAATTTTAAAGGGAGGACAGGTAGCCCAATTGAGGCAGTAAAGACAGCACTTAATGAACATGTTCAAGTGCTCTAGAAGTTGGAATCTGTTAACGCAATTTAAAAATATTCTAACAGTGCTCCACAAGGCTAATGAAGTAAGGTACATCAAAGTCATTAGGCTTCAGAGTGATATTCTTTATTCAGATCGCCTTTCCTGGTTTTTTTTAAACATCTGATGTAGATGATAAGGGACTATTAATATTTCATGTTGGACTCTCTCTTGTCCTGTAGATACAGAGCCAATTCATCCTTGAATTCAACTGATGAAGCAATTTCTCAGTTCTCCACCTGATCTGCTGTGCAGTGGGGCAGCTGGTGCATAATGTCTGCCACAAGTCACCCAGGAGTGTGCTGCATTTCAGCTGTGGATGAAGCAGGACCCTTCATATACTGTATTCAAAGCAATTTGAGAACCTCAGGGATGAAAATCATTATACAGAATGAATATAATAATAACTTGTCTCATTATTACATTATATTAATAAAGGACAAGATAAAATGTCTTCACAAATAATTCATTAGAATTCATTTTAGGGGAGTAAGTCATATTACAGATGGCCTATTCTATTTACTTTAAGGCTGTGATTCTCATACTTGGACCTCCTGCCAAAAAAGCCTCCTAGTGTCACCCACTTAAACTTACATTACTGAAGCAGGATTTTTAATATGGTACTCTCATGTGAATGGAAATGGTAATTAGTGCAGTAAAATAGGTGCTCAGGAACTTATGGACAAACCAAACCTGGTTTTTCTTGTACTTTTCAATGTTTAAGTGTTCTTATTTTGCTTTAGTTTCTATATTCTGCAGAGAGACAGATGTTGTGTCACCAAAGCCTGCATCTGAAATGCAGAAGTGGGAGTAACATGATGACAGCACTGTACTAAAAAGTTCTCAAGCAAGATTTAAGAAACTTCTAATTGAAAGCATACTGTATAAAACATTCATTTTCAGCATTAGTGAGAATTTAAATGTTTCCATCATCATGCTATCTCCGCATGACAAAATGAGGAAAAAAAATTATCCGACAGATGTTGGTGCCAGGTAAATCCGAAAAAGACTGCCGTTTCAGATAACAGCTCCTGGTACAGTGTTTCATGTCTCTTTTTTTCACATCTGTCAGAAACCTCAAGTGATTTAGATTGTCATTTATACCAGCATTTGAATGCATCTACTGTAATTTAGCAAAATTTCATTGAATCTGTTTTTTATAGAAGCCTCATAACTACACTTAAATAGTACTATTAATGATTAACTAACCATTTACAACAGGTAAGTATAATTACCTTAACGTCAGTCTTAAGTAGAACCTTAACTCTAACACACGCTATGACCTCTGCAGAAACAACTTTTATGTATTGTTAGGAAGACTATTGTCCCTGTTACATCTTCTGAAGCAACAGTTATAAATGTCAGTGAATGTTGTTACAGCACCTTGTGCAGCCTTCATTATAAGAAGATATATAAGACCATATTCCAATAGAACATGACCCATAATTATAATGACAATAAAGGATGATAACGTGTGTAGTTGGCTGTGCCGAGTGCATGTCTGACCCATGGCAATGCTGAATTTAGACGGGACAGAGGGACACAAAAGGAAACAGTGGAGATGAGCTTGTCACTGAAAGAGCCAGATCCAGTACCTGGGAGACCTTGCGCACCACCTCACTGCTGACCCCCAGGCCCTGGACGAAGGAGCGGGCAGCGATGAAGGCGCGCGTGGCCTTCAGCTTCAGCTCGCGGGGCACGTCGCCGAATGGCCGCAGCGTCTCCGTCTGCTTCACGGCGCACTCCAGGTACTCGTCACCGAAGACGTACTGGGGGTTCTGGGCCTTGAAGAGCCTCTCCAGGAGCCGCACCCAGAACTCGTTGAGCACCTCCTCCAGGTTGATGTTGGAGCCGCGGTAGTAGCGCCGCAGCTCGGCATACAGGTCCTTGAAGAGGCGGGCGTTCTGCGTGTACAACTCCCCGTACACTGCTGGAAAAGAGTCCTGCAGAGAGCGCTCTGACTGGTTCAGCAAATCCAGGAAGTATCCTGCAGGGAGATGAAAAGGAAGACAATGAGCAAAAAGGCAAAAACGAACATTTCTGATAACACATTAATAAGGATGATGAATCTGTAACAGTTAACAAGCAATGCATATAATAATAATAACGACCTGTAACTGCAAGAGATGTATTAGTTACCATTCTTTTCTATAAATTAATACATGAGCCCCACAATGACTTTTAACATTCTGCATGCCAAAAAACTTTTTTCTACAAACAATGGTTTGACTGATCTAGTCAGTATGCTTTTGCAACATGACGTCAACATTGTTTATTAAACTGGACTATTAACACTTAGCACATCATTTTTCAAACATTAAAAGTTACAGGCAAAGTAAATTGTACAAATCAGTAATACATGACCCATAATTTTTATTTTTGTCTACAAGGTCTAGTAATGGAGGCAATATTTACATTTGGTTGTGATTTTCCTTCTGTGCAGACAAGAGAAAACCATCCATGTTGCCCCAGGAACTGACCATTAATAACACAGTGCGTATGACTTAGACGACTGTCATATGACAGTCACCCGTCATCATTCCCACAATGCCCTGCAGCATGACTCAGCTTTGACCACGCAAAGTCTGGGGCCAGTTAGTTTTAAACCCATTGTTCAGTGTATTTTGGGCCAGTATTTGTACCCTGGTTCATCCATTGCTCTCTCTAACAAACGTGTTAGCAGTTGTGCATGTTGGTGATGGAGAAGGGTTACAATACGTACAGTATCTACATAATTGCTTATACTGCAATGAGTTAAGTAACATCAAGTCAAACATGTTTAGAAACTCTGATTCATCATGGAAAAATGGAACTGCACTAGCATAAAATAAAATTATATCATTTCAAAGCTTTAAAGGAAACCCTGGAGGAAGAATAGCCATATTTTCCTGTAAGGAGCAAGGAGGAACATATTTTATAAATGATGAATTTATAAAAAATGTAAATTATGATAATTATTATATAAGTATATCAAATGAATATAATGCAATTACATGAAACTGTAAATGTATACATTATGCAAAACCAATGTAGGCAATTCTAGTAAATAATTAAAACAGATTTCTACATCCATGAGATTTTGTGGATGCTGCTTTGCTAATCTATGGATTCAAATGCTCACAGAACATGCTCACGCTTGCTCACACAAAGGATGCTTTAAGCCAATACGAGCACAACGAAGAAAAAACAAATGACGCAGAAGCTAGTCATGAAGCATGACCCTGCAATCTGTTGGTCTTTTACTGTATGCTTCATTTTCTTGGAAGAAGAAAAAAGGAGCACAGTACTCTGACCTCTTTAGTGTATGAAAAACATCTGACCTTCTCATCACAGACTTGAAGTCTCATAATCCTTTCCTTGTATAAGACCTTGTTTGCTTTTAGATACATTATCTTTGTCTAGATGGACACCTTGAGAAAGCCAAAATTCTTTCATTTACAGGGTGGTTAGGTAATCCTGATATTTCTTCCGACTAGTAAAGTTAACCCCAGCGGTTTCAATTATGCAACATGTTAGTATTACTGTATATGATTAATATAACCTACTCTTAAACCGTACGGCCATATCTGCTCCAGTTTATCTCTGCCTGTAATCTTTAAAACATTGATGTGTTGCATTCTTTTAAAAGCACCCTCACGTCACAATGTACAGCACTAACATATATCTGTAGCAGATAATGGCATTGGGACCAAACTCATCAACAATTCATGTGGCTATGACAGCAATCAAGCCTCAGGGAGCATTTGCTTTTATAATATAAATTTGGTGAAATAAAGGTTATAATTTGAACATTTGAATAGTAACTAATTTCTAATTTTGAGGACTATTCCACTGAAAATGAGTATCATTCTAATACAAAGTGTTAATTTGTATAAATAACAATTCTTGGTGTCATTCCACATGAACCCACTACAAGTCGCTGATCTTTAACTTTTTTAAGCCTTTTTAATCACTTTCTGTAGGCATTATCATGCTTTCAGTGCATTCCATTATTTTTAGGAACAAGTAATAGGTTTATTCCATGCTGAAAAAAAGAAGAAAGAGAACACAACGTTTCAGCTGTGGAGCCCTCTTCAGGTGTGAGGAAGGCTCACACCTGAAGCCTTCAGGTGGAGCCTTCTTCACACCTGAAGAAGGCTCCACGGCCGAAACGTTGTGTTCTCTTTCTGCTTTTTTTCAGCATGGAATAAACCTATTACTTGTTCCTTTGCAGCCTACGCATGCTGACGCAGCTACCCACCTGAACTACTTCCATTATTTTTAGTTTTTTATCTTGAAATTAAAGTTGCTTTCACGACATCCCAATGACTGTCTGTCACAAGCAAGGGAATAATTTTTACTTCTATGATGTGTTAGGACAAAGAAAATGTAATTAAAACGAAATGAGAAGATCACCTACAGGTATATAAAACAGTATTCTATGAGATTGATACTATGGATGTAGAAAGCACAGTACTTGCTTAACTAACTTAGCAGTAATGGATACAAAACATATCACAATGCACACAGAGAAGACTACAACGGAACCTCATACAAGAATTAAAAATCCTTATATTTAACCCTATGGACTTATTCAAAATCAACTGTACAATATGAAAAAGAAGACGCAAAAGAAACTACAACGAAGTGCTTTAAAAACTAAGAAAAGGAAACTTAAAAGAAATCTTTTTAATGCTTAGGATTGTGGGCAGCTGGTTAGATTGTTCAGATATGTTGCTAAGGCTGATACCATGTCTTCTTTGAAGAACAGCTGGCTGAGATCTTTGAACCACTTACTGCAGCTACTAAAAGCTAAGCAAGTTTGACAGGCACATGGTCTCCTCCCATTTCCAAGCATCCATAGGTTTTTATATTTCAGCTTTGGGGTGTATTTATTGCATTTGACTCAGCTATTATGACAAAAGAGCCCTGACCCTACTTCTCTATACAACATGTATAATTTTAAAACTTGAATAGATTTTTTTTTTACTCAAATAGTCTCCAAAGATATATGTAAGACAAGCAGTATTTACATTCTGTATAGCAGCAAACTCTTTCATGTGCTATGTAACATCTAAGTTTATTGTGATCTTTCAGCACTTTACAGGATGACCACTTGTTTTTACTATAAAAAAAGTGTCAATTACACTAAATATGATATCTCAAGACTTCAGTTTCACACTCAGAGTTGTATTTCCAGCAAGAGGAAAGATTCTCATGATAAAGCCTGACTGTGTTCAGTGTCAATCAACACAGTACATCATGCTCTGCCTATGACTCTGGATCAACCACACAACACTAACGATTACCTTGTCATTTTTTAAGTGTGAAATTCATTCAGATGTGACAGACTTCATTGGAAAAGCCTGACAGATTGAGAAGGACCTTGATGACACACTCATTGGTTTCAGTACTGATACTACAATTCTGAAAGCCTAGAGTTTCCTACAGTAATTGGCTATGGCCCTGCAGTTGTTAAAGTGGGCAAAGGCAGGAGTAGAAAAATGTTAACTTCTCAAGTCTGGTCAAAGAGTGGATTAGTTAAAAAGTGGTGCACGTCAGAAGGATTTTTATACGGTTAAATAGCTTGATGGAAACTGAATTCCGAGCTCAATATCACATGCTAGACACCATCTGTACATACGCAGGAACAGTGTAGGGACTAGGACAGGAATAAACATAAGACCCACAGAAACACAGACAGCTCCTTAATATCCTTCTCTAAAAGTACTACGGAACACCATAGCTATCTTAAAAACAAAAATAAACTTTCAATTCATGACGCATTTCCTTGAACATTTAATTTGTACTACTACAATGATGGTGAATCACTCAACTCTGTAATATATTCTTTTTTTCTGCTACTATTTGTAAGTACAAAGTGCCTAGGTTTTTGCAAGAAATCTGCAAGGCAGCTTTTAGAATTTGTCCCAGGTTCATTGAAAAAAGTCTGTATTTTAGATGCCTAATTGATTTAGGTTATTAAAATACAGCACAGGATACTTAAAAGGCTTAATAATGTATTTTTGTTTAGATTAACAATCAGGCAGTGTGTGTACTGGTAGTTATAAGTGCAATGCGAGGAAGTTTCTTTGTAATGGAAGAATAGCTTAGTGAGTGACTATTATTAAACAGTATGTGTGCATTGGAGGAGGCAATGACCTTTACAAACCCATGTGTTTTTCAGTGCTTTGTCTTGTTCAGAGGTATTAGTGCCTGCAGAGCACGTTAATTTTGAGTCAAAGTAAAAAGACTTATAAAGGTTAAATCTACAGTATATATCAGAAAATACAGTAGGTACATGGTGTTACTTGATCCAAAGAAAATTACGTATGCAACTTGAATTTCATGAATGGTCCACATTATCTAGGCTTTACTTGGGTTGAAATCACCTGATCAAGTCTACACATATCGCTCTTTTCCTTCTTGCTCCATGAACCACATCACAACATGGGCTATACTATTGCGCCACAGAGACTTACACCTCAGGCACTTTGCTCTTCCCTATCAGAGACAACACGTTGCAGAGACTGAGGCATGGTACTGTATGTGAAATCACCTTCACCCAGTCTTTATGACTGAGTAACAGTGAACTACAGATGGGATCATGTGTACTGTATGCTACCAGGATAAAGGTTTTACTGTATAGAGAAGATAATAAAGGCTAAGTATATTTCAGGGAAACAGATATTTAAAAAAATGTTTCATGTTAACACTCTTTTATTACCATGACTAAAAAATGTTTAGCCTTATGAAGTACAGTCTTCAGAGGTTAATCTACTACACTGGACACTAGTCTATCCTTATAAATAACTATTGCACTGCATGCAGCTGTAAAAACTGTAAAATCTGCCAATAAAGAACTGTAGCCCAGCTTGCGTTTGCTGAAGCATAAATCCTGTGTCCTTGTGCATCCTTGATAATGACAAAAGTGGGGTCCGGTGATTTTTTTCCCTTTAATATTATCCCAAAGTAGAGCATGGGCAATTCAACACCGGAAACCTAGAG